GCATTCTGTAAGCACCTGTCCATTTCTTTGTGTTTCATTTGTTAAGCTTTTCTTATATAAACCACCATCAGACTAAAGCATCAAACATTTTCTAGCTTAATGGGTCAAAAATACCCATTGTATTTTATTACATTAGAACTAAACCAAATGCTTGCATCTAGTACGTTCAAAAGTAGCAATGAATTTTGGAATATTTGCATGATTTAAAATGCTGTTTACATGTAAATCCATTTTTAAGACTCAAAAGGACAAAACTAAAACCTCTGTTTTTATTCTAGTGAATTTATAGATTTCTATACTTCTATAGAAGCTCACTTTTCCAGTGTCCATTCAGTGTGGCCAGTTCAAATGGCTCTGATGCCAAACCTTAAATGTCTGGCTGATCATTTATGTAGGTATAACAAGCAACATAGCTTAGTTACTGAAATGTGGTATTTAAATTAAGATCTCTCCTTACTGTGATACCAGTGTTAAATATGTTGATAACACTCAGTGCCAAGACTCTACAAAAAGAAGTAGTGTCTGATGGCATCCATACAAAGGTCAAGTCATGAAATCCTGTGTATATACACACAACTGCTTACAATTATTTAAGTAGTTACAACTGTACTTAAATTAACCTGAAAGCAAATTTGACCCTTTTTAACTTTGTTAATTCCTTGTTAACTCCATGGTCATAATAAGAATGATTGATCATGTCATACCATACCATTTAAAAGATTCTTGTTTTCCCATAATTTTCCATCAAAATACAATGACTCCTGCCCTGACTCCAAAACATTTTCTAAATTTTGATTACGTCATTGCGCACCAGTGGACGGGAAATAATATTAATCAATATTGTCTTGTTTCATCTCCCCCTCCCACCTATCGCCAAGAGAAAATGCTCCGATAGCTCAGAGACCGAAACATGTTATGGTGCGGAAGAAAAATGCCTTATGATTTCCACTGACTTTAAACTAAGAAATATTCGGCATATTCTTTTAGGTTACAAAACTCCATAAACTAAAGTTGCTTTAGATAAAAGTGACAGATAAATAGATAAACAGATATATAGACAAACAACACATAAACCACTTTCAAGAATTTTAAATGATGTGTGTCAGGAGTGGGCTTTACACATACAAATATGAATGCTATATTATGATCAACACCACCTTTATTAGAAATATACCCATTGCATGTCAGATGTTATTCTTCTCAAAAACTTGCTCTACATGAAATCGTTACAAATAGATAAACAGCATGTTCGAATGAATGTCCAAGATTAATTTAATTAATTAATTCAAAATTATTTCCTTCAGTTTGAAGATATCAGATTGTTTCCGGGAACTATGATTTACAGAGCACAGGAACCAGCCCACAGCAGTGTGAGTTGGTAAGAGTGATTTGCATTTAGTGGAAAGAGGTTCAAAAGATGAGGGGGTGGAGTTACCAAGGTGCCTTCCAGTTTATGGCAGAGGTGGCTTGCTCCCAAGATACGACCCTAATTGCACAGCTGGCAAAAGATTCTTACATGTTCTGCCTTCCAGGAGAACCTGTCTTCAAGCTTTTAAAATATCCTGAGAGTTTTTAAAGAGCAGTGGAGACCCTATTTGAAAATCACTGATGCATCAACATAAAATTAGTCACTGGCATTGTTTTTAAGAACCAGTATAGGTTCACTTGAAGGGCATCATAAACAAAAACAACAAATCATAAAAAATGGGTCAGGAAATGCTTCCAGAAAATTTGTGCTTACCAAACCAAATTTTTCGAGATGCACAGTCTCAGTGGCCAAAAGCGAATCGCTAATCGGCAGATTTTTGCTCAGAACACAAAACTGACAATGAGCCAATTTGCTGTTTTTTTTTCTTGTCCAATCTGTCTTGCAATTTCATGACATAAATAATGTACGTCAGTATTGCGCTGCATTTGAATGCCATTTCTTCACCTGTACCAAAATGTCATATCATAATGCATGACTTCTTGTGCTAAATATCCAGTTTCCTCTTACATTCTATGTGGCACTATTTGCTTCATGTTCTGTAAATAGGCAACTGATTTAAAATTAAAAATATTAATATGATAGTTTCACCCATATAATGTTTATTTTAGAATTTGGCTAATAAAAAGTAATGTAAATGTGTTTGTGTTATGTGTTTTTTTAGCCCACACAATGTGAGCTTTGGATTTAAAAAAAAAAAAAGTTTAATAAAAATCAGCCAAAAAAAGGTTTATTAGCCAATCTGGCCATAAACAAAAGGGGTCATGAAAAAAAATCATGATCGGTGCATTTCTATTTTAGACGTTTAAAAAATAATGTGACTGAGTACATTGGGTTTCAACTCCTCATGGCTTGCTCAATACAGATGTAAATACTCCTGAATGAAAGCTTACATCTTGAGACTTTAACCTCACAGTCAGTGTTCACTGTTCATTTCAAATCCAGCATGGTGGAGTATAGAGCCAAAACAACCCAAACTGTGTCACTACCTAATTACTTACAGACTCTGCTGCACATGCTTGTGGTCGCTCATATACAATGTTAATATGTGAAATGAATACCCTTAATAGGAACTTTGTTGTTTATTTATGGCAGTTAATATGCTAGCTTATGAATCTCTCTCCATATTGCCCAGCCCTGATCCTCTGCCCAGCTCGACCTAATTATAAAATGTGTCTTCTGCAGAGCAGAATCAATAGAGCTTGGTAGTTGCTGCCAAACATCCTTGAATTCAACCACCTGGTCACCGCATCCATTTATACAAACACTATCATCTATCATCCAGACTCACATGATGTAGGGAAAAAGCCTATGTGCAGAGAAAAAAATGTGTAGCTAAAACATTTGGCATTAATCTTTGCATTTTCGGCCATGCATCCTACGGCAGTTCTGGAAACTGCAGGAGCAGCGCTTTATGAGCGGATTTCTCCATTTCGTCGTAAAGGAGCTGCTGCTTGGAGCTCACAAATAACGTCGAGATCCGTTTTAATGGCATCGCAATACAAAAAGGCTGAGTGCATGACCGCGTTTTAGGTCGAGACACTCCCTTATTATCAATGCAATTAGCGTAAGGTGCCACAAAAAGCTAAGACCAGCTAGCCACATAGCCGAGCAGCTACCACCGAGGGGGCTTGGCAGCCTTTACCTGCAGCGCCCTGCTGCTAGCTAACGATTTTCTAGACAATAAAATAACAAACAACGTAGCGAAAAAGCCCCAATCTCTGCTGCGGTGTGCGCTAACGGTTCGTATTAAGTCGTTATTTTGCTAAAGCACACATGCACGCAGGCTTAGGTGGCCGAGGGAGCTGCTACAATGCCGAGGCGATTTTTGTTCCCCCCCTCACTCAGCCAGGCAGGCAGGCAGCGAGCTGCAGGAGTGCGGTAGGCAGTTAGCCGGATAGGCTAGGCTAAGCTAACCTAACCTCTCTGCAGTGATGGAGCAGTAAGGGCAGTAAGGAAAAACGGGGAAAACCTGCACGAAAAAACTCACACACCTGGCAGAATTCTTGGCAGAAACTAGCGGAGGCATCTAACGGTGATTCGGCGCTGTCCCGTAAAGCAGCGGTCAGGTCGTTGAAGCGCTTTCTGAGGGCCGCCGTCTCTCCCCTTGTGCCGCGCTCTCTCTCGGCTGCCTCCTCCTCCGCCATCTTCGCCACAATCACGGCGTAGCGGTGTCCGAATCGTTCTTTTGAACCGGTTCTCTTCGATAAACCGGTCGAGCCGAGTCACTTGAAATGAATCGAACTTTTTTTGTGGTATCTGCGGAATGTTTACGTCTTTGTTACAGGCTGAAGACTTTTACAGGGGTGGAAAATACTTAACCCGTTAATTAACATACGTGTATATTTACATTTCGTTTGCTCTCCATATGCTCCACATGGTCCGCATGGTTCCCGAGTTTGCCAGAACACAAATCTTAAGATTTTTTTTTCAAATCGATCAAACCATGTGACTTAAACGTTGTTATTTTATCATTTAATCTATAATATAGAATTCAGTCTAGAAGTCACACTGGACTCCCAATAGTTTTAGCAAAGCAATAGAAAATTCCTATTTTGATATCCGTTTTTTTACTTCCACTATTATACTTTTGTAGACGTATCAGATATTTTTAGTGTATTGAACTCATTACACCCTGACTAATCAATGTGGGCATCAGACTCACTCACTGAATCGAACGTAATTGTATATAAAAGGAATTAGAATAAAGTTGAATTTACTAATCATTATGCGGACGTCAGGCCCGCTCGTCAAAGGTCGATGTGGAGGAGGGAGTGAGAGTAAGACTGACTTCAATAATCATTGTACCCCCTCCTCCACCCTGAACAAAAACGTGTTGTTGAATCAGACGTTAGATTCATTCAATCGGACATTACTATAGAATCGGTTCAGTGAACTGAATCGAATTCGCGTGTGTTTTTCTGTGAACTTGGATTCGGCTCATACTGACCTACTGACTCCGTGGCCTTACGAAGGAAGACGATTTCCAAAAAAAACAAAGACGTTTCAGATGTTTCTTTTGTGTTTAGTTATAGCAGAAATTGTCAGTGAATCTCGTTGTGAATAGTTTAATTTGACTGGAGACTGTGTGTCTGCTCAGCCTACTTTGGTCTCTGTAATTAGCATATGATTTCGCAGGGTGAGATTGATGGCCATTTCGGTTGCATTTTTAGGGCATTTCAGAAGCTCCTGTTTAAATGCTAAGCCACAGCCTGTGCTATAGTAAACTATTTTCTTGAATTGTAATGGAACAAGAAATGAAGCTGTGGACAGTTTTCGGACTTTACTAAGGAAAATAATAAGTTAATAAATGATAAGTTAATAATATTTTGTCTTTCCAGTGCCCTAAGCCCATACACAAGATGGCTATGATTGCATTTAGACTACTTATTATGGCTAATGTGGCTAATGTTATTCCCAGAAACAGAAACAGTAAAAGGAAAACAGTGGGATAAATGAAGCACGTAATTAAAAACACAGGGAAATGAGTTTAGCTGGTATAAAACAAACTACGGCTGGTTGCAGCAGAGGCTTTATTTTGAAAATCCATGATTGGAATTAAGACCAGAATTTCCCAACTAAACGTGATCACATATAGTCATCATAGATTTTCCTCTAGTTCTCTAAAACGATGAGAATAACAATTTAACATAGATAACAAATGAAATTTTAAGCACAGAACATTTAGCCTGCACACAAGCAACAATGCCCTTTTGCAATATAACTTACAGTCAAGTGACTTCTTCACAATACTATCCAAGCAAGCATCGACTGCCTTGTCAGCATGTAAGTATGCCTTTGAAGGCTTGATATCTAGGATTTATGATAGTAGCAAGTGCTGCAGTGGCAGTCTGTGTGGTTCACTAGTTTTACATCGTTGACAATGACCTGCGGGAGCAGAAGAAGGAGAATATGAGTGTTTTAGGATATTGTGATATTCCTATAATGCAACTGAATGCACTGTTTTTATTTTAATTAATTTTACCCGTTTGAATTCTTTGGCAACACAGCACGTGGCCTCTGATGTGATATTCTTGGGGACCAGCATAGTCTTCTTGGACCTGAGAGGTGTCGGGTAAGCCCTGGAAAAGCAGCACCCCATGCACTGATACACAGGGGCGCCGGGCTTTGAGAAGATGTTGTTCTCCTTGAGTTTGCACTCCTCACAGCCAACTTTTCAGATCAACAACAGTGAGGTAAAATCAGTTCCTAATGAACACTGCAAATACCAGTTCACAATTGAACCTTGTTTAGCTCTGTTATTATTATTATTATTATTATTATTATTATTATTATTTTATACACATTGTGCTGTAAAGTGAAAGTATGATCTTACAGTTAGTGATGTCATTGTTTAGATAAAGTTGTCCAGTTTGAATTAGAACTGACAGCAAAAGGATGGTTGCCCCAGCGTATTTAATAATCAGAATCATCCTAGCTGTAAAAAGAAATATGAACAGGATAGAACATACAGCTGCTTGAAAACAAAGTTCAGAACAAAGTTTAGAGCATTTCAAATTACATTTCTGATGTATTGTCTATTGCTGATAAAAGTTTACCATTACAAAATCTCAGTATGGCAGAGTTTAGCAATTTAGAAATATTACCTCTGTTCTTCTTCACCTCAGGAGCTTCTGCAATAGAGACCTCATTGACTCACCTCAGGGTTTTATACCATCCTCTTCCTGCCTACGTCTGTCTGTTAGTTGAATAAAACCAAAAAAGTGCTCCCCCCATAGTGTGAGTCTCAGTCCTTCAGCTGATGTTAAGGTCCATTATGTGAATGAAAGGAACTGCATAAGCACTGCGTGGGCAATGTTTGAACATGATAATACATTCCTGACTAATAATACATACCTGACTGTGGACGCTAGGTGTAGATTACATTGTTAGAGAACACATAATCTGGATGTAGACAGTTTTTGAGTTATATGTAGAGTAAGTCTGGGGTGGAAAATACTCAACACATTGACATCCATATCTGAAATAATTAATTTACTTTGTCCTCCATGCTGCACATGGTGTATGTGTTCCCTGACCCTGCCTGAGCCCAACACTGAAGTTTTTTTTCAATTTGTATGGCTAACTTATTAGTAATGTATTTATTAAAAATGTATTTATTAGTAAGATAAATACATTGGTATATTATTATTAATTGCTTTAGAAATATATTTCTCATATTAAATTCAGTCTTTTGGTCACATGGGATATATGATTTTTAACAAAGCAATAACAAAAATGTCATTTTAAATAAAAATATAAAAAAATGAAAAATAAAAACTTAATATAAAACTAAATTTAGTTGATGATCATAAATAAGGTAAAATTATTGAATTATTGTTGTATTTGTACTATTACTGAATTTACTCTATTACATTTTAAAGAGAAACAATTTTTTACTCCTTATGTTTTCATGTCTCAGGGCGGAGATTGAATGAGGGATAATGCTGTGAAATGCGAGGGCCATGAGTGTATCATACTATATATTTAAAGTAAATGTAAAATTTATCCTAGTGTTAAAATAATTACAGTTACATGTTAGAGTTTGTTGAAAAGGGTTAATCCCAGGCAGGCAAGTTGGTCTGAGTGATGTAAGCATGACCAGCTGTAACCAACTGTAACTACTGGTTTTAGCAACATGTAGGGCATTTCTAATTATTATACAGACTCATTAAAATAGCGGAGTAGTACATGCTTATTACACACTTATACACTATTATACGGTTCATGTTATGGTTATTCAAGAGTAGTGGTTGATGAAAGATGCTATAGAGACTGCTATCCATATTACTTGTGTCTTTATTCTTTTTGCCACAACGTAGGCTACTATACTATTGTATCAAATAAGGTGCATGAATAGTTAATTGTGTAAAAAGTTATTCAAGTGGTTCAAATTGAAATGGTTTTTCCCTTATCATTTCTGTAATTAATACTGATATCCACCCTCTACTGTCCCACTCATGGTATTATATACCAAGGATGAATATTTGCTTGACCTGCTATCTCTTGATCTTTCCATTGCCGGTAATCCACTTATCCTTGGTTGTGTAGGAGACCAGTGTCTGTCCTGAGACAGATGAAATTTAATACGCACTGTGGCAGATGGAACACAGTATCTAAGGTTAAAAGATTTATTTGGCTTCTCAGGATTTCATGCAAATTGGCATCCTCAATGTAACATATTTGGAAGTCTTACTTGGTTGACTAATGTTCCTCCAGTAAAAAACACTTTCAAATATTAAAACCTGAACCATTTCAACTCAATGCTAAAACATTTTCTGCATAAGACAAATAAGAAGCCTCATCCAAGCCGTTAAAATGCAGTTTTTCACATGAGAACTACTTCAAAGCCATGCTTGTTGTAAAACCTTTTGTAGAAGAGGGCTCATGGGGAAGTTGATGTAACCTACCCAGATATGGCTGTTCACATACCTGTGGTTAGTGTTGCAGGAGCTGCAATCTGACAGGCAGCTCTAAGTAAGGAAGCCAGAGTGAAGAGTAGGGCTCAGGGACATTTTTGTAAGAATATGTGTGTCTACAGTTTAGATTCAGAGAGTGCAGCCATTGTGATCAGTATCAAGCAGCAGGGGCCTCCAGAACAATGGTAATGAACACTTCTGTCCACATGATGGCAATAATGAGTAAATGCCTGTCATAATATTTGGTGTCTTTATTTCAAAGGGCTTTGAAACAAAGACGCCATGTAGGTCAGGCCTGCATCTGATAGATTTCACTGTATTCCCATGAGATTCAATAAAGTAAATGTTTAGAAGTTTACTTTTTTAAATATAGTTTTTGCTACAATTTAGGTAGACCGTGGGATTCCCTTCGGCATGGTGGTAATGGTTATACTCTACTGCTTCTTAAAATGGAGGGCGGGTCACCATTGTGGCCATGATTTTTAACAAATAAGGGAACACAAAAAGAGTAGCAGACCAGGAATAAACATAATATTAACTAAACAAGCATACATAAATATTAAAACCTTTCTGTGTTACATTTTAGCATAATGAATATAGGCTCTGATTGGAAAAAATGGTAATTATTGAGTGTCAAGGAGGCACCAACTTTTTTTAATTACTTCTGTTTCACGATATTGCATACAGTACATTTGGCAATGGTGCATAGCTGGGAAAACAGCAATGACCATAATCATAATCAAGTGTGCTGTTAGAAAATCATGCCTAAAAAAACAAAAAACACACCAGTAAAACTTATTTTTGAAAATACAAATTTGGGTTTAAATCTAGCTTTACTTTTCTACATATCTGCCCAATAAGGAGGAAGAAACCAGTGAGCATAATGGCAAAACATCATATGATTACTACAGTGAACATACATGGATCTAAAGCATTTCTTTTCTGACCAGAGACCTCCTTTACATCTCCTTTAAATTATATACATTTAGATCTAGCATATCATCATAGCCTGTGCTACTGAAGCCAAGAGAAATGTTATAACTCTTGTTAAATCTGTGAATTTTCTTACAGAAATAGAACGTGAATGTTTTTATTGAAATTAACTTGAAGGGCCTATACATTTTTTTCCACTTTTTTCTTTTACACTGAGGTCCACTCATGAAGTTTGTGTTGTTTTCTATACCAAAAACAGTCATAATTCATGTGTATATGACCATTTCCCAAATTTTTTGTATCACTTAGAATCAAACAGGCTGTTTTTGTTACTGTGTCTTTAAAACTGATATGTGCGAATGAGCTCTTTTGATTGGCTGCCTTGTATAAAAAGCAGTCTGGGCTGAAACACTCCTTAACTTCTTTGTGAATGGGTGGGGCTCAACTGCTGTAGGTGGCGTAAGCAGATATATGAAAATGATTTGGTTTTTTAGCACTTAAATGAATTCAAAACAGGCTTTTTTGCAGCTTAGTTTCCAAGGATGGACTATGTGGACTGTGGAGTGAATGGTACATTTTGAAACTGTAACAATGTTTACATATTGCTGTTTTATACACAAGGACCTTTTTTCCATGACACAGGGCCCTTTATATTCAACAGAACTGTGACATGAACTCCTTCATTTGATGTCATTTTAGTAAATACAAATATCAAGGCAATTGGCATTGGAAGCTATGTAAGCTATTTGATTATGCAGCTTCACCGGGCAAAAGATTCTTTCATATCAAGATTGTTTTATTGTTGTTTAATTATTTAATGTACTTGGGACACATGCAATATATCTTGACACGTGTAATGTGTCACTGTGTTATGTGTGCCTTAGGGCCTGCAACCTTTGCGGCATGCATGATTTGTAAGTGATCTCTGTTGATGTGTTATGTTGCTATTTCTCTCTTTTGACATACAAATGTGACTCACTGAAGAATCATTTCCCCATGGGGACAATAAAGTAACTACTACTATGCCAGAGCTGGGGTGGGACTACATATAAAAGAGCTACTGTGAAAGCAAGGATTAGCCCTAATCTATGAAAAACACCAACCATAACCACTCCCCTAGCTCAGTTTACTAATCTGAAACAGCTAACTAATGATCTTGAGTCTATAATTCAAACGTCTGCCTCCAATTTCAGAGATTGTACTGATCATAGTTAATAGTGCACAAGGCATGAAAAAGAGACTGAAACTTTACAAAATCACTACAACACTGTACAATGATGATTATTTGTTGCATAGCCTGACTAATGTCTCCACATCACACAAAAGCATTAAATAGATAAAGAGATAGATCCACTACATGTCCAACAGTCTGTAGACCTGCTCATCCAACATTGCCTCTGAAATCTAGGGTATTAATAGAGAGTTTGTCCCCCTTTTGCTGAAGTAAGAAAAAAAAGACTAGATGTCGGAATATTGTGGTGAGGATTTGATTGCATTCAGCCACAACAGCATTAGTGAGGTCAGGTAATGATGTTGGATGATCTGGATCTGTGGATTACAAACACCACTCCAACTCATCCCAAAGGTATTGGATGGTGCTTCATCAGTGCTGATGGGCTTTATACACCCGTAGCCAACGCTTGGCCTTGGTCATGGTAACCTTAGGCTCATGTGCGCCATCTCATCTGTTGACCATGCTTTGCTCAGGAGATTACATAAATTGTGCAAAACTGAATACCTGTGTCAGCAGTGGGTGCACCTTAAAGTAGGGGTATTTGTATAATTTTGGGCATATCAGATTTTATATCCAGTTTAACTTTCGTGTCCAGTTATTGTGAGCTGCCCATTTTACAGCTGTATTAATAACTTCAGTTAACTTTGGAGGGAACACCAATTCTTTTAGTAGCTGTGTGTCTATCCTTTAAGACTTAATTCCTGTAATAAATAATAAAACTGAGCTTCAGGAAATAATTTTCATGAATGTACAAAAACTAAGTAGGTTTTGTTGATGCAATCCTGCTCTCTAGTGGTTATGGCAATATTGAGCAGAGAGTGTTCTTGTGTATGCAGGGATGAGCTGTGCTTCTGAAACAAATATCAAATTGTATTTGGTGGTCTCTGGAAACAGAATCTGTGTTGAGTGTTTATTGGCCAGTTTCCGTCAAGCCTAAACCTAGACTAAAAAGAATTTCCAATGGTGATTCATCATTGGCTTTGCAATTTTGTCCAAGACTAGACTTATTCCATATCCATGAAACTGGATTTTACTTGGTCAGTATTGTCCCTCATTGCTCTTTGACAATACTTTGTGCTAATGAGCTGCTTGCTAATAAAGCTGTGATTGTTAAGCGCTAATTTAAATGAAATTCAAGGGTGGGTGGTTTTAATGGAGTATTCGTACATTTGCCAGTTCCACTTTACCTGCTTTCACTCTGTTTTGATGTATTTTTGCCAGCCCTGAGTGAAATCACAGAGATCTCTTGCACACAGTACCTAGAGGGGGAAAAATCACATATTTCAGTATACATAGACAAGCACAAAAAATAAACAAAACTATATAGTCACTTTAGTTGCAGATACGTTTTGATACCTGTTCTGAAGTATCCTGCTCTACAAACTGATCCTATTTTATATAATCATTAAGGGTGTAAGAATTTTCAAGACAGTATAAAAAAAATGTAATGTCCAAAACAGCATATAGAAATTTACAACTGTATTTCCATTGTGCTTCTTGCTTTTCTAGGGTCTCTCATTTGCCAGCTTTTGTGGAAACCACTGATTAACAAATCAGTTTAACATTTAAAAAAATTAAACTGTAATTTAGATTTGTAGGGGCTAAACATGGAGACATACTATGGCGGTTTAGGTTTTTGTATTATTTATAGCTCAGTTTATAAGACATGCTAAAGTTATTTTGTAATTTTTGTGGTTTTGCAATAATTTCCAAAACAAAAAAGTTATATGTTTTCTTGAGACAAGTCAATGTAGCATTTGTAGATGTGGATTTAGATTGTAGATTTAAAGGATCAAGACATTTTTAACACATAAAATATCAAAAATCAAATTGAATATTGACCTGCTGAATATTGAAATGAAAATCGTATAGAACCTAAAAACATTTATTGCTACAGCACTAGTAAGAACACATTTGCACAGAGCCCCTAAAGGGCTGTGGTGAAAAAAAGACTGTTCCCTCGCAATAATGTTGCATTCCCTTGCAAATGGTTTGCGTTCCCTCGCAATAATTTTGCATTCCCTTGCAAATGGTTTGCGTTCCATCGCAATAATTTTGTGTTCCTTGCAGTAATTTTGCATTCCCTCAATGATTTTGCATTCTTCTGCAAATGCAATGGATTTTGCAAGTGAAAGCAAAAACTTTGCAAGGAAATGCAAAATTATTGCAAGCGAAAGCAAAACTGTTGCAAGTGAAGACAAAAACTTTGCGAGGGAGTGCAAAAATATTGCAAGGAAACACAATGTCTTTCCAGTTTTTCATAAAGGCGCTGTAGGGCTCAGTACATTTGAGACATTTGAGCGGGCGGCCTGTAGTAATAGTGTTTTTTTAATGACAGAAATCCCTTGGATGGGTGTGTGAGAAACCCCGTACATCACAGACAGAGAGAGGAAAAAAAAAGAAAAACTGGCGGCGTGATGCTGGCCGCCATTTTGCATCCTCCTAGCTAAGTGTAAGAGTGGAGCCGGACCAACGGCGAGGGATTCGGTCACTTTTTTTTCGTTTTTCCCCCCAACACGTTTCCCTCCGGAGCCATCCGTACATTACAGTTTCAAGTTGTTAACCGGCAGCAGGTACGAGCAACGTCTTCATCTCGAGCAAGAACCTGTTTAGCGTTTAGTGTGGAGTAGTGATGATCTTTTGTTTTCAAACAAAAGTCGGTAGAAACTGGTCGGCGCGTCTCACAGACCGGCTTTTTGAAAATGGACTCCTCTGTGTGGCGGCACGTTGGCCAGCTCACATCGGGCTAATTTTAGCTAGCATTAGCTCACTTAGGCCTAGGTTCAGTTTAATGTACAATATCTAGTTTTAGTGCCTCAGCCAAAATGCGATTCGTTTTGGAAGCGCCGATTTCTCGGCGCGGCTTGCGGGCTAACGCTGCAAGATTAACGTTATTTCCTCGTGAAGTTGTGGCTCGCTAGCTAGCGAGCTAACAACAACCGTACAAAGTTGGAAAAGTGTTATTTTATCCTGTCGCTGCGAGGAGGGCCTACATAAGCACGTATGTTTTAAACTGAGGTGAAATAAGCGTCTTTTGGCGACATGGTTTACGGTGGCTAGCTGTCAGAAAACGGCCGCGCTGCAGCGTTAGCAGCTAACAGCGCTGCTGAAAGTTGAGTGTCCACGTTGCTCTTGTGTCCCGGCCTAGATTAGGCAGGAGAGCCACTGTTAATGTGGCTACGCTCTGGCCACATTGCAAGATGGCAAAAAAAGGGGCAGCGAGGGGGGGCAGAGCCCTGTCATTTTGACACTGAGCTCTTTGTTTGTTAGACGTAGCTACAGAAATTCATCGTCTGAATGAAATAAAGTGGTGCTGACTCGGAGCTCTGAGATGTCCGCCGATACGGTGGTTAAGCTAACCACGTTTTAATCTAGCTAAGCTAACTGATCAAATATTAACAGTGGAGCAGTCAGCTTTCGCCGAAACAACTCGATTGACAGTGCAGACCATTACCGGGTACTAAACGTTGAGTCTGTATTGAAAAGGAGGCGGCTAATGTGGACTCCTATCTTTCAGCTGCTAGGTGCCTCGGACACATGCTCGCCTAGCTAACTAGTGTTGGAGGAGCGGAAATTAGCCTAGCCAAAGAACACGTGTAAAATCTGGCGCTTCTCGGCACCAGAGCCAGTTTAGCAACCCTTTAATTATTTATGCAGAATTTGTGGTGCATCTGTGTTCTCAGTCGGTAATGTGTTCTCAGTCGGTAATGTTTGCGGTATCAGTTAATAGGGAAAAAAGAGGACATTAGTATAAAAAGTTGGAGTGAAAAATCGCCAGACGATGAAATGTGTTCCTTGTGGTATGAATAGCGGTTCTCGTATTATTTAAATCTGACTGTGTTGTACCTGCAGCAGACTGGCCCTGTTTAGGTTTGACTGTTAAGGTTGATACGACTAGACTAGGGATGTGTCTACGAAGTAAACTGGAGCCAGTTTGCATTGATGGCCCAGAATTAGAGACGGAGAGAGAATAAACACAGGGTCAGGCAACAGGTTCCTTGACCTCTGCCCAGTTTGGATTAATTTGGCTCATTGCATCTGCACAGATAACGGAGACATGGCCACAGAGCATATAAATGGAAACGGTACTGAAGAACCAATGGAGACTTCGGCTGCAGTTACCCATTCAGAACACTTCCAGACATTATTAGACGCTGGGTTACCTAGAAAAGTTGCTGTCAAACTAGATGAAATTTACGTAGCAGGTAAGGCCCGTTGAACATTCAGCATATTCTCACCCATTTCAGATTTCATTATAATTGCATGTGCTTTTAAATACAATTGTGGGAATTGGAACATTAAAGCAACTTTTTGTGGTTTCCTTCCAAAATGGGTACTGCAGTCACAAAGTGCTTTAAAAAACTTGCATAAAAGAAAATTGGCTATTCTGAATATTATCTTTTCCTGTGCCTCCCATAGAGATTTGGAGGAGACAGGGTGTCTTGGGTGGCAGTTTCACAGAATTTCATGTTTAGGCCCTTTAAGCTGAGTTTAAGCAGTCCTGAGGAGTCTCCTCATACAGTATCAGGGCAAGTGTGTTGCAAGATGGACATATGCAGGAACAATAGAGCAGGTGGTGGTGGTTAAGACAGGTGATGGGTCCTCATAAGTCACTGGACTAGCTTGATATGGTGAAGGGTTCTAAATGACTGTGTCAAATTACACCATCACATCTGTTGTGTTTAGTTCTGGATATCTCTATTCTGACACCAGTTACCTGAAAAGCATATGATATTACTTTGTGTAGGATGTTTATTAATGCAAGTTGAAAAACGAATGAGCTGGTGATTGGTCACCATCGTATCATTCTTTTATGTTTGCATCTCTCAATTAGGTCTGGTCTCACACAGTGATCTTGATGATCGGGCAATTGAAGCTCTAAAGGAATTCAACGAAGAAGGTGCTCTTCAAGTCCTCCTGCAGTTTAAAGACAGTGACCTTTCACATGTTCAGGTATGTATTGGGGAAAATTAGACATTAAAGTGGTTATGTTCACTACATACATGAATTTAAATGTGCTCTTTTAATGAGTGAAGTTGTTCAAATAAATGCCAGAATGCTTCTTCTGAAGCATGCATATGTAATATGCACACTTCAGATGACGTGCTCCTATTCATATTTTTCAAAATCAGTTTTTCTGGAACATGTTGCATATTTTCATAGTATTTCTTCTCATTCGACCAAAAGGGATATCTATGGCAGTGAGGCTGTACTGAAGTGCTGGTGTGTGGATCATGAAGTTAATAAGAATGCCTTTATTGTTTCTATAATCAGTCCTGCAAATACAGTACTTTCACAGGAGTGCATGTTGGACAGTTCATGGATCTAATTCAGTAGGCCCCATGTTCATTAAGAGTTTGCTTACAGACAATCTTTATTTTTGTGCTAATTTACCAATTGAATATGGGTTATGGACTGCTTTGAAAAATCATAGCACCCAAATTTGCCTGCATTTGATTAGCTCAGATAATTGCCTGACTAGAACTTCACTTGACATACATGGGACGTATGTGCAGTTGTTTGGTTGTAGTAAAAAATAGTTTTAATTTGAAAGCTGTCTATTTTGATATTATCTTCTCATGTGTGTGAATGCATATTCATCACTGTTTATTTCCTGTTCCTTAATTTTGCCAATAGAACAAAAGTGCCTTTCTTTGTGGAGTCATGAAGACATACAGGCAGAGGGAGAAGCAGGGGACCAAAGTGTCAGATTCTACTAAAGGACCAGATGAGGCAAAAATCAAAGTAAGTTTGGTTGTAGGTTGCCTGATACTTTTATCTACTGTTGCTCTTAAATGGTTTCTTTGGAGATATTGATATTGTGAAGCGTTAGGGGGGAAAATAATTAGATCACCACACTTAATTCACGAAGTCTCTTAAATAAAGTAGAATACTAAAGTTTGCAGTGCTGTGGCCATCCAGGATTAAAGGCTGGGTCCTTTAAATATCATAAGTCTGTAGGGTAAATATGTGAGTAAGTTGTTTTTATTTTTTTTTTATTTACTGTCGGTTTCCTGTTTTGCCAGGCTTTGCTTGAGAGAACTGGATACACACTTGATGTGACAACAGGTCAGAGAAAGTATGGTGGCCCTCCTCCAGAGTCAACCCACTCAGGTGCACAGCCCTCAGTTGGCACAGAGGTAAGATCTGTGACACCCTTAGCTGTTACGTCCAATTGACAAACCTGGTACTATACTGGAATAACTGATGTTATGTTGTTAATATACGATCTGAAATCTAGTGTGTGTCCTGACAAGTCAATATCTATACAGCTGTATAGTTTTTCTGAAAAACATGAGTAATGCATCACAGTTTTTGCAATACAGTACAGCCACTTCATCATGATGCTCAAAGCCTCATGATTTTGTGTTAGTTACACATGACATGGTAGAAACAATCTTGTAGTCAGAAAGAGAATTACACGCTGTGGCTAAAAGTAAAAATGTTAGTGATGGTGATACTGAAACTATGGCACATTAACAGTGAAAAGGTGACTGAGGGTAGCCAGAATGTATAGTCCTTCATGTGACAAACTTCAGTAGCACGATAGCCAGTTGTTTAGGGGATTTTGCAGACAGTACGATTGTCCAACTTGTGTTGTCAGTACTACATAAGCAGCATGTCGTTACTAACGTCTTACAATACTTTTATATATTGTTCTGTATTCATGGCATATTGATCAGCCTGTGTTTTTATCAATCAATAGTTTGGATTAAAAAAAAATAATAATAATAATGTTTGGGTTGAAAATGTCAATCGAGTGCAAGTTTTTGCAGTCCAATTTTTTTTACAGAGTAGTAGTTAAAATTGAATATCTTTGACTACGAAGACTAAGTTCTGTACCTGTTCTGTGTACATTAACTACTTTGGTGCTACGGCATATGCAGCTGGTCAGGATTGGATCATTATGCCGTAACAAACTTGGCTGCAGCAATTTTATGTCTCAGTTGTAATCCCACAGACCCATATAATTGCATTTGTCAACGTTACGCAGTTTGCACAGATTACATGAAGGTTATACAAGCTGTCTAAAAGCCCAGGGAAAGGTAAACATAGTCCATAGTTGTGATTTAATTAATTGTCATTACTTAAAAAGAATGACAGAATGCTGGTATAAAATGAAACTGTGCTTTGCCATTTGTTGTAGGCTTGTGCATATGTGGAAGTGAGCAGAATGTGTAGGATGATGTGAAGATAATAGAAAGCAACTAGAAGATTGTGTAATAGATTAAATATATTGTTAACATAAATTTTATTGTGGCATCCCAATGCAGTGAATAGGTTATCTGGTTATCTTGGTAATGGTTGTTATCTTTTACTTAGATTTTTGTGGGAAAAATCCCAAGAGATCTCTTCGAGGATGAGCTGGTCCCCCTGTTTGAAAAAGCAGGACCCATATGGGACTTGCGTCTGATGATGGACCCCCTTAGTGGCCTGAACAGGGGTTATGCCTTTGTCACTTTTTGCACTAAAGAGGCTGCCCAGAAGGCAGTTAAATTGGTAAGGGATAGTACCATTATTTCTGTCTTCAATTATCTCCCTTAAATATTTTACTTCAGAAAAGAAAAAAGTTGACTTGAGGTTGTGATTAATGATGTAGTATATTAATATATTTGTATAATTTTTTGGTATGTTCTTTAGTGTAACAACAATGAAATACGCCCTGGCAAACACATTGGCGTGTGCATCTCTGTCGCCAATAATAGACTGTTTGTGGGATCCATCCCCAAGAGCAAAACCAAGGAGCAGATAGTGGAGGAATTTGCCAAAGTTACAGGTAAGTAAGGGATGAATAATGAGTCTTTCTTTGGGAACCATTTAAGATGGTTTTAATATTGAGACTACTTCAGGAAAATTTAGCTGCCAATTCAATCCTCTCTGCTTTCTTTCAGAGGGGCTGAATGATGTAATTTTATATCATCAGCCTGATGACAAGAAGAAAAATAGAGGCTTCTGCTTTTTGGAGTATGAGGATCACAAAACAGCAGCACAAGCGCGACGTAGGTTGATGAGTGGCAAGGTGAAGGTGTGGGGAAATGTAGTGACTGTGGAATGGGCTGACCCCATTGAGGACCCTGACCCGGAGGTCATGGCGAAGGTAAACAAGCAAGCAGGCTGAAGGATTCATAACTAATAGTTTATTAATATTATTCTATTTTTTGAATTTCATGTGTCTGTTATTTTAATGTGAATGTTGTGCTTTGGTTTTGTCCTGTCTGTTTCAGGTTAAAGTTCTTTTTGTAAGAAACCTTGCAAGCACTGTATCAGAAGAGCTCTTAGAAAAGACATTCATCCAATTTGGCAAGCTGGAGAGGGTCAAGAAGCTAAAAGATTATGCCTTTATTCACTTTGAGGAACGAGATGGTGCTGTTAAGGTAACTTTATTTTTGCTGTTGCATTGCTTGTGTTTGTGCTGTACGCGGTCGTGCTCTGAATTGTTTCACCTTGTATTTCTCAATAGGCCTTAGCTGAAATGAATGGGAAAGATTTGGAAGGTGAGCAAATCGAAATAGTCTTTGCAAAACCACCTGATCAGAAGAGGAAGGAGCGGAAGGCTCAGAGACAAGCAGCTAAAACGCAAATGTAAGATCACCTTAGTTAATTGAGATACAGCAATAAAGATAGTCTTTTTTCAAATGCATTGTTCATTCTGTTGCTGTTTAAATTAAATTGCTTGTGTTTTCAACAAGGCATTTCTGGGACTCCTCCAGGTATGATGATTATTATTACTATGGCCCACCACACATGCTTCCTCCAACAAGAGCAAGAGGAAGAGGAGGCAGGGGAGGCTTTTCATATCCCCACGACTACTACGGCTACAAGAATTACTATGATTACTATGGCTATGACTATCACAACTACCGAGGGGGCTATGAAGACCCGTACTATGGCTATGAAGACTTCCAAGCCCAAGGCAGAGGAAGAGGCGGTCGAGGAGCCCGTGGGTCTGCGCTCTCCCGGGGGCGTGGAACAGCCACGGCTAGAGGAAGAGTCAGTTTCTCCCAGCGTGGAGGCCCAGGATCCAGCAGAGGTGCCCGCGGGTCCAGAGGAGGAGCTCAGCAGAGAGGCCGTGTGGTATGTGATGTGTGGGGGGAACATGTTTGGTGAAGTAGCAGGAGGTTTTAAAACAGATGGCCATATTTTTTTTGTGCTTATGTCTGTGCTTAGTCTTTGAAGAGCACGTTTTGCCATTAGCTTTGTCTTTGCTTTCGGCCTTTTCTTTGTGCTTTAATTTCACTCAAAGTGATATTGATCAAAATACATTTTTTGACTATTTCCCCCTTTTCAAATTGCTAACACATACAAGGCACCTTGTGGAAGAAATGGACCAAAGGTTTGCATGTTTTTCTTTTTATCTGTCTATTCATCTGAGTCAGTGTTCTGTTTGCTTTGAATATATAGTGCATAGCAAAAATTTGGAGGATCCTGAAAGATTTAAGTACTTGTTTACTTTTTCTAGTATAACGTTTCAGTATATTACTGCTTAATTTTTGGGGCCTCAATGAAAACTTTGTGACCTTAAATATGAATAATTTGATAAAACGCATAATCCAGAATGTGCTTATACTAAGCAGTTATGGTGTAGTAAATGTTCATTGTTAATATTTTCTTAGTTTTCTTTGATTTAAAGACCTTTTTCTTCTTCCAGCAGGGAAAGGGGGTCGAGGCTGGTCCTGACCAGTTACAGTGAAGACTGACTTGCTACATGGGGTTACACCAGAAGCTGCCAATGGATATGATGGTAAGGTCGAGGCAATGGTCCAATGATATTCCAGCCTTACGGAAGCATATTTCCCATACTGCCACCCCTGAACCCAATGGAAATTCTGTACCTTGGACTGTCTGCATTCATATTAAAAAAAAAAAAGTCTTGTATTCAAAATGTCACATGCTACTCCCTGTAAACGTGTTCCAAAATTACAAATTGCACCAGTTGAAATCATTTGTGAGGTTCAGACTTCCTAAAGGATACTAAAACATTTTTTCTTATTTTTCCTTTTTTTATTTTATTTTTTTTTTGCACTTTTTATGTTTGAGTTTGAAGTGGCTCAAAAGAGCTTGATGCTAATGTATATTTTTGTGCTAATTGTAATTTTATTGTCGGAATATCCATGTTTATCTAAATTTTTTGATTTGGATGAGGAGGACATAACATCTGCAGGTTTTTGGTGTAACCACCTTGCATGGATAAGTCAGGCATTCCAGGAAAGTGGTTCTTTTCAGAACTTGTCTTTAAAGGGTTGGTTAACTACCTCAGTACAGAGGATTGAACTACCCTGCCTGTACTGTAAATAGGGAAACTTATATTGATGAAAGCAGGGCTTGTTTCCTATGAAATATGCATTAGAGCAGCTGCTCAAAAGATGTACTTAATGTAATATAGTCATTTTGCTGCTGCTCTGACACTGCGAACAGTCAAACTGGGCATGCAAAATAATCTCATATGATGAGCCTGAACAAGCCCTGCTTTTATCTTATTTTGAACTGAATTAGCTGCCTTGCTTCTTCAGATTATGTAGTTACTGGTTGTATGATTGTATGATAGTTTTGGAATAAAATGTTACTTTTGTAAAGGCTTGAACATCACAAAGGCATCAACTGCTTTTGGTAAGCCCTGCAGTGTCCCTTTTTTCTTTAAGTGGAAAACCATTTTTGGATAACTAGCTCTGTAAAGACCATAGAATTATGCCCTGTACCGTCATACCTTTTTATTTTAAGATTTGTTTTAATCATGATTCATGAAATTGAATGATCATGTTTCAACTCTGGGCCAGCCATGTTTCTGTAAAGACAGAAGATAATCTAGGCTGCACTGTGCACCCTGTGTACAAGGGCCTGTGGCTGTGTTCACTGTGAAGGGACAGGATCATTCAGTGGAAAAAGGGATGCTGCAGCTTTGGTTTATATTCCATATATAGCAAACAGCTGACTGAACCATTCAACCGGTTTTGTACACAGTTAACTCCCTCTTGATGAAGCTGTATCATTACAACCTTTTGACAAGATGTTAGCAGTTTTAAACTATTGTTGGTGGCCAACAACGTTTTTGCATTCCTGCAAATAAATTGTTTTATACTGTAAAATGAGGTGAGTGTAACTTATTTTTGTAATAAAGTTTTTGATTTCTATCTGTGTCCTAAAACTGTTTACTGTAATAGCTGTGAAGGGGGTTACCTTCCTGTCCTCATGTGAGATAATGTTATCTGGCATTAGTGTTTCAGACAGTGATGTGCAATTTTTATTAAGAAAAAATGGTGTCTGTGTTCACTGGAGAGGACTTGGGTTACATACTTGTTTATTCCAGTTTCTGTTGCTGCCTGTTAGTATATTCTTTTGAAATGAGCCAAAGGAAATGCTGTTAATGGGCTCAGTCAATTACAAATATTTTTGGCAGGAAACTGAATAAAAGTATACCCATCATTCATGTGGATGACATGCCTGACATGGGCCAGTTTCCCCAGACCAAGATGAATCCTAAGCCTAAGCTAAATGTACTTTCTAAAGGCAAACCCTATTGGCATGGAGGCGAGATCCAAGACTAGGCTTAATCCATGTCCAAAAGTCTCCATGCACCCCTTCCAATTGGTGAATTCAGCTACTTTCTGTGGGGGGGGTTCTCCCATTACTGACACAGCCACTCAATTGCGCACAAACACCTTGTATATAATCTCAAAAAAAGCATTGACCAATAGAACAGGACGCTCTGGAAAGCCTATAGTCTTCATGCCCAATGCCAAGTGTTGGCTAGAGGGGTACAGAGCCCCCCGGCGTTGGCCTCTGAACCAGTGGAGCTGCATTTTGTGGCGTGATGGAGCTCCTTCCAGCACTTTTGGGAAGAGTTAGAATGCCATTTGTCATCCAGAATAAATCATCCAACATCAGTACCTGACCTCACTAATGCTTTTGTGGCTGAACGCAAACATATTGAAGCAATGTTGTAGTGCAGTGGACACCAAACCTCCTCCTAGAGACTTACTTTCCTGCTGAGTTTAGCTCCTGCATCAGACATGCCTTACCTCAAACGCAGCTGATCCACCCAATCTAGAACTTCTGAACAAACTAATGAACTACAGCATGTGTTGTGGTTGGAACTACAACTACAGGGAGGCAGATCTTCAGGACCAGGGTCGGTGACCACTGGTCTAGTGTAAGTCTGCTAAGTAGAGCAGAGGCAGTTGCTGCAGCAAAGGGAGGACACGCTCTCTATTAACACCCTTGATTTAATAAACGTTGGGTAAACTGGTGTCTACAAACTATGACCTCATGTCCGTTAATATCACAGTCCAGCATATTTGCCCCAGTTCAGAGACTAAACGCTTTCTGTCAGCGTTTTGTTTTTCTCTACGGTGGAAAACTCAACAGCGTCTACCGAGCACCGGAGGTGACGTCACTTTGGGACCAATCCCACATCGGCGTCTGTTGTGGTCCCGTTATAAGGCGCATCAGGACAGGCCAAGTGCTGTCAGTGCTTCGTTTTCATGTCTGTATTATCACTCGATAATTACATTTAGCCTGTTAACGGTGGTTAGTTTGCACTGCAAGTGATGTTTTTTTCATCCGCGCTCTTAAGAGCGCCACAACAAACAACAGCTAACGTAGCTAAAGCTGGAGCTGCTCTCTGAGGCGCCTTCACGCAGGTACCGTTAAGCCACTGCAGTAATGCAACTTTGAATTATTCGCATTATTTTTGCCGTAGTTAACTATCTGACAAACACAAGAGAATAAGGGCAGAGCACCTTACCTCAGTTTTCTCCTTCGCAGCTTCGAAAATGTCCACGTTGAGAGCGTTTTTAGTAACTTTGAGGCTGAAAGTGGACCTTATGAGAGAAGTGGGTCGGCAGTACCCTGTCTTCTGTTTTCTGCTTGTCCTCCTGCTCCTCGCCACTGTCCTGTTGAACAGGTAACAACCGAACTGATTTACATTGTAGAGGTGGCCGGTATGGCGATATTTACGGTTACCGTGATGTATTTTGTCACAGTGTGCTTTTGTGACAGCCCAGAGGAAAAATGTCTTTCTTTAGATTGTGTCAAAGAAATAAAGCAGATCTCAATACAGTATTAATGAAGGATCACTGATTTCTGTATTTTTCCTGAACTCTTTTTAGGAGGAAAGATGAGATTAACATAAGCATTTTATTTAATTAGAGTTATGGTGGCAAATGAGAAAAGCATCCTTGTACACTGAGAGCCTGCTGAAATAGTTCTGTGATCTACGTTGTTAGCGCTACAGTGCCTTCCACAAATATTGGCATATCTGGTAAACATGAGCAAAACAGGCCTTAGAAACATTTATTATTGCTCATCCTTCTGATCTTTCATTTAAAATATTAACACAACCCTAATCTTTTTTTGAAGTACAAGGATTGAAGAAAAAAACTTAAATCTAACCACGAAATAAATATTTTTTCTCAAATCTATGCACGCCACAATTGACACCCCTTTATTTAATACTTTGTGCAGCCTCCCTTGGTAAAGATAACAGCTCTGAGTCTTCTTCTGTAACGCTTAATGACACTTGAGAACACATGGCAAAAGATCTGAGACCGTTACTCTGTACAGAGTCTCTCCAGATCCTTCAGTTTCCGAGGTTCATACTGTGGACTCTGGTCTTCAGCTCATCCTACAGGTTTTCTATGGGGTTTAGGTCAACGGACTTGGGTGGCCATGGCAAAACCTGAATTCTGTGATCAGTGAACCATATTTGTGTTGATTTTGAGTTGTGCTTTGGATCAATTGTCCTGCTGGAAGATCCAAACGATGGCCCAGTTTAAGCTTCCTGGCTGACGCCGTCAGGCTTTGATTTTATTTCTGCTGCTACTTGAAGGTCTGTGATACCATGCATCCAAATAAATTGTTCAGGGTCTTTGGAAGAAAAACAGCCTCACAGTATCACAGATCCACCACCAGACTTCACAGCATCTGACCATAGAACACAGTCCCACTGAAAGTTACAGTAATGTTTGGCAAACTGTAGGCGCTTGACTTTGTTGGTTCTTGACAACAGAGGCTTTCTTCTGACAACACCTTCCCCCACCCAAACAACTTGTGATTATATAGGTGGTGTTTGTGGTTTGGGAGACATTCTGACTCCAAGACCTAACTAATTTCTGCAATTCCCCATTTGTGATCCTTGGGTATTCTATGCCCACCTGAACAATCTTCCTCACTGTGTGTGGGGTCAGTATAGACATACATCTTCCAGTATAGACAGAAACAAGAGAAAGTGGCTTGGGTCTCACTCTGATTTCAAACAATTTAAGCATGTCTAGTAGAGTACATGCGATTAAGAGGACATCTCATTTAGAATGTTTCCTTCCTCTGGGATGAAGAACACAGACCAAATGCATGTTCCTCTACAAAAAGAGCATACCTGCTGGTCAATTGTATTTAGTGCAGTACAGCATGTGTAAAGTTGAATAACAATGTACTCATTGTTTTTTTTATGAATTTATTTATTTATTTATTTATTGATTTTAACTTAATATTATTTTTTAAACATGGCACCACTGGTTCTTTTTTGGCTTTTCCAACTTACCAAATCTCAGAAAAACTAAATATCATGATGCGTATTATCACTGTCCAAGGAAACACAAGTATCTCCCAAATTGTTACAGGGGAGGGCAAAGCGTTTTTTGCTGTTAATGTATATTAAAGTAAAAAGGTTTATTTCATGCAATTTTAGAGCATTTCCTTTGTCCATTTGTCATGAAAACCTCACACAATGTAAAGGAAATCTACTGTGCTTGTGTGATATTGAAAACGGAAAAACTGATACAAAAACAGAGATGCATGTTTTTCTTTGTACAGCGACAATATGAATAATGCATATGAAGTCTTGAAGTATCGTGTTATTATGCTTTTTTGCCATATTATTCACATTAATGTAAAAATAATATGTACATTGCAGTCTTGCTTTTGGTCTCTAGCTTTGCTTATGTGTATTTCTATTCATGTTTCAGGTATCTTCACGTCATCATCATTTTCTGGTCATTCTTAGCTGGAGTAGTTACTTTCTATTGCTCATTAGGGCCTGAGACCCTGCTCCCTAATATCCTCATAACAGTTAAACCAAAGAAAAAGGTAAGCCAAATAGGACTAGGTAACAAAATGTAACACTTTTATGGCACCAACTGAATTACTTTGATACTACAAATCGTTGTAGTATGACTTTTAACTAAATAATTTTGTATTTAAAAGAAGGTTTCAAAAATGTATTGATCTGGAATTGATATCAAAGTAAAAGTGTCTCTATTGGTCTACTTAGCCCGAAAGCCAAATCTCAGAGATTATGTCAGTACACAGCTGTACTCTACATTCATTGTACTTGATCTGTCTTAACAGCCAGAACTGCAAGAGTTGTTTCCCTTGGCTCACAGTTGTGCTGTCTGTGGGAAAGTTAAATGCAAAAGACACAGGTAAAATGCTAGTGTTCCATTTATTTACCTACCCAGATTTACTTGCATACGCCATGTTACAAATGTGACTGATTTGTTTCATTTCCTGTGTTAGACCAACACTGCTTCTTGAAAACTATCAGCCATGGCTGGATTTAAAAGTGCACTCCAAAGTGGACACATCTCTTTCAGAGGTTTGAGGACGTGAATGTAGCCTCAGTTTAATTAAAATGTTTTGATAGAACCTTGAGTGGTAATAAAAGTCCAATCTGTCCTCAGATTCTTGAGCTGGTCCTTGAAAACTTTGTATACCCGTGGTATAGGTACGTGCCGTTTATTGTGTTCTGTCAAGACTTTAATACATTACTTTTTACACTGTATGAATGTAGCTTGATTGAGTGAATCTTGGTTGGTAGGGACATTACAGATGATGAGGCATTTGTGGATGAACTCAGGGTGACTCTGCGGTTTGTAGCTGCAGTGCTGGTCCGCCGAGCTCAGAGAGTAATGTACTATTTCAATGTTTTTCATTTTCACTTGAGTCAGTCTGGCAGTTTATTCTGTTTGTTGGTCATTCTGCACATGTAGTTAGAGTTTTTAAAAGGTGTAGGACTTTTTTATTTGATAGAGCAAGTCCACAGTTTACATCAGGTAATGCGTAACGTTTTGGTTTCTTACATTGCTAATAGGAAACTCTGTGTTTTGCTTTACAGGTAGATATTCCATCTCTTATAACACTCAAACTGCTAAAAGTTGCCATGAAACATATCGAAATTATTGCAAAAGCAAGACAAAAAGGTATTGATTTCTGAAGAAATAAACTAACTAATGAATAAACTAACTAATAACTAATTTGATTCAGCTCAATGGAGTGAATAGCTGAGTTCAACCCTGTCTCTCTTTGTTTTTTTCTTTAGTGAAGAACTCTGAGTATCTGCAGCAGGCTGCGTTAGAGGAGTATGGTCCTGACCTGCATGTGGCCTTGCGCAGCAGAAGGGATGAGCTACTGTACCTACGCAAACTTACAGAGATGCTCTTCCCTTATATCTTACCTCCAAAAGCCACTGACTGCAGGTGATTAGCTCTGTTTAAGCTCTTTGAGTGCTGGCAGTTTTTCTTTTACTTTTTCCTCTTCTGTTTCTGCATGCCAATGTGTTTTTTCCAGATCTCTTACTCTTCTGATAAGAGAAGTTCTTGCTGGCTCTGTTTTCCTTCCCTCCATGGATTACTTGGCTGATCCTGTGAGTGTCAACATACAAGTAGCCACTTTAATTGATGGAATTTTTTTTTGTACTGACCTAAAATATTGTTCCTTTTCTGTTTTAGGACACTGTGAACCACTTACTGCTCATTTTCATCGACAACTCTCCAGTAAGTTTATTTTGGTTGTGCAGTTTTACTGTCAGTGATATTTAGTTATGAAGGAGCCTCTACAAAATACTGAAAAAAAAACTGCTATTCATGCCTAGTTTGTGTGTGTGTGTGCGTGTATAGATACTGTACTGATGGTGTATGATTTCTCATTTTAGCCAGAGGCTGCTACTGAACCTGCCTCTGCATTTGTCCCGTTCCTGCAGAAGTATGCAGATGTGCGCAGCAAGAAGTCTTCGGTAAGTGCCATCTGAACTGTCTGAAATGTAGCGCAGCTTGTTTTCACATATTGTACTTTTATAAGGTTGAATGCTCTAATAAACTTCAAATGGAAGGATTAACATATTAATGTGAGACACATTTTCACCCACTACTTATTTTTCCCTTATTGAAAGTATATTGAATCAAGGCTCTGCTATATCATATTGAATGAATTTTGTGAACAGTTACACCCCTAAAGTTACCTTTCACACCCTCAAGTACAAAATGTTATGAAGCAGAATTGTATTTCCCTTTTATGATAGTTTTGAATGGTTACTATCTAAATGTCTTAAAATTTAAAGGTTAAATATGTTAACTGTACAGGTAGTGTTTGAGCCAGACTGCTAAGTTGTACATTTCTCTTTCTTTCAGGTGTTAAAACTAGATCTCAAAGAGATTCGGGAACAGCAGGACCTGCTGTTTCGCTTCATGAACTTCCTCAAGCAAGAGGGAGCTGTTCACGTGCTCCAGTTCTGCCTCACTGTGGGTAGGGTGTCACAGACAGAGTTATACGCTTTAAATATAAAAAAAGGATAGTGTGTTTCTTCTGATCTTGTTTAACTCATTTAGGCTTTTTTTTTCCACACTTCAGAAGAATTCAACGATAAGATACTACGTCCAGAACTTTCTGATGCTGAAAAGCTAATGCTACACGAGGAGGTGAAAAAGATATATGAAACATACTGCCTTGATGAGAGCATTGACAAAATTCGCTTTGACCCTTTTATTGTGGAGGAGATTAAAAACAGTAAGTTTCTTGTTCGTTGCTTTAAGATGTGTTGTGTTGACCTCTTAGCCATGCAGGTTTATTATTCAGTCATTAACTGTATGGCTTATTATTCAGTAACTACTGTGAATTATTCAACTGCTGGGGTATAACAGTTTACTCAGCCCACGATTCAGGTCAGTTCTTTAAAAAAGTATTAAATTCTTGATACTAACGTTGACGATTCTCATGATATTTTGGAAAAATGGGAAGAATGATGACTTTCCATGTTACTGCACTGAGGAGTGCAGTGTATTACATGAGCAGGCTAGATAGGGACCGACCGATTATAATTTTATATTTCTATTTTATTTCTGTCTATTTTATACCCCAATAGTTTTAGTTAAACAGTGCTATACAGACAGATATGATTGTCAATTTCTGCTGTCACATTTATTCGCTAATTATTGGTGTGTTATCATAAATTCTTTTGCAGATTTCAGTAAAACCGTGAGTGATCAATATGAGCCAGTATTATCAGTTAGCTCATTGTCGGTCAAGCCCTAGTGCTGGAGTGTTGTTGATTGGGGCTGATTGTTTGCAAACTTTTTAAACATTGTACACCCCTAGTAACAAGTATCAAACCAATATGTAAGTAATGCAGTTATGACAGTGGGGACTTGAAATGTGTGCCCATATGACTAGTTCAGTGGTTGTTTGCAATCACGTTTTTGAGTATGTGTAATAAAAACAAATGTGACAAATGACAAAATGATGGATTTGATTTGACTCCATGTCTGATGGCTTCTCTGTTCCCACCAGTCGCAGAGGGCCCGTATGCCGGCGTTGTGAAACTGCAGACTATGCGCTGTCTGTTTGAGGCCTATGAACATGTCCTCTCCCTGTTGGAGAATGTCTTTACTCCCATGTTCTGCCACAGTGATGAGGTAATGAAAGAAGGCCATGTACTGCTGTCACCTCTACACACTCTGCTGAACTCTGCACCAAACACATTCACCGCTAGTGCCATCACCTCTTGCCACATGACAGATCTAATGAGTTTGTTTTGGTCCAGTGCCAAGCGTTTAGCACCGTCTCACTGAGCCTACAGCTATGAGAGATTTGTAGTCTGAAGTCTGTAACGTATTGTTTAGATTGAAGTAGCATTTTGTATTTGTAGACTACTGAGATTTAAGGATTAGCTTGTCTGGTATGATTGTGGTAAAATAGATGAAGTGCACACATTTTTGTTTCTGTTTCAGTATTTTAGGCAGCTGTTGAGAGGGGCTGAATCCCCAACCAGAAACTCCAGACTTAGCAGGTGGGTGCGCTGTAGTATGTAAAACAAGCATTCATTCACAAGTCAGGATTGCTTTATCAATTAGATTTTGTTCTTTGTCACTTATCAGTCTAATTCTGTATCAGGTTTGTTGTTTCAACTGTGTGTTGTCACCCAAGCCTGTTGGCCCCCATCCCAACAGAATGCACTGGCTGAGCTTTGAATTCTTCTACAGTGTGTCCAAATTCTTTTTTATATCTACTTACCTGTCATATTCATAACTCGCCAGTGTCCCATCATTCTGTTCTCTGGATGTTTGTTAAATGGTTTACTAATCTTAACAGTACACAGCCTAGATGTTCTCACTTCTTTCTTTTTATAGCCATACTTAATTTGTGTTATTTTGTTTTTATCAATGGGGTTTAGTGTTAGAGGCCAGTTGTAATTCCTTTTGCCCATTATTTCAGAAATAGCGTGAGTTTGGATGACATCCGGTGAGTATGCCAACGGCATCATGCTCAACCAGTAGCTCTCCATTGTCCACGCAATGCTGCACGCAAAATACTTGCTGGAATTCAGAGGGGAATAAGTTCATTTTATCAATTGGATGTCACAGCCTTAGCAGCAGCAGCTGCTGCTGATTTGTATAATTGACAATTCACATATAAAAGTCCTGTAGCGTGACTTTAGCGAGCCATCTGAAACTACTTTGCCTCCAGAGCCAGATCACCAATGTTATTTGAATTTGAATGCCTCATTTTGTGCAAATTGTGCTGTCATACACAAATTGTGGTAGCTGATTCATTCACCAACATGGAAAACCTTTGCCTGAACATGCCTTGAGATGGGAAAAAAATGGAGGCAGACAATGGGGCTTAGTGCCTAACTGCTGTACAGTATTGTTTAGGCAGTGCGATTGGCAGAACAACACCAAAGGGGAATTCCACCAATTAAAAAAAAATCATAATTCAATCATTATGTTTTCTGTGAAACGCTCTGTTCTAGATAAACTTAACAAGTCAGAATTGTGGTAGTGATAGAAACCAGACGTCTGAAAAGTTTAATGCCTCTTAAAGCTACCTTGCAGAATGTTTTATGATAGCTCTGAGATAAGGTTTTTGAACTAAAATGTATTTTTAAGTGCAGTCATGGAAGGGAGGTACATGCAGGGTGTTCAGACTTTTTTTTCAGATTTACCTTTGTTTTAGCATTATTTAACATAACATATAAAAACTCAGATGTGTAGGTTCACTGGTCATTTTGGATAGTAAATAGGATGGCTATATTTGCACTGTAAACATCACAACTCTTGGTTCCTATCACCACTACTGTAATGAAATCCAAGTCAACATTACATATTTTAATATTACATATAAAACCCATGTAGATTTACTGGTCGTTATGGATAGCAAATAAAGTGGCAGTATACACCAATCAGGCATAAAATTATGACCACCTCCTTGTTTCTACGCTCACTGTCCATTCTAACAGCTCCACTTACTATATGCACTTTATAGTTCTACAATTACAGACTGTAGTCCATCTGTTTCTCTGCATACTTTGTTAGCCCCCTTTTACCCTGTTCTTCATTGGTCAAGACGCCCATGGACCCTCACAGACCAGGTACTATTTGGGTGGTGGATCATTCTCAGCACTGCAGTAACACTTTTTAAGAGTTTAAGAGTTTTTAAACACCTCAGTGTCACTGCTGGACTGAGAATAGTCCACCAACCAAAAATAACCAGCCGACAGCGTCCTGTGGGCAGCGTCCTGTGACCACTGATGAAGGACTAGAGGATGACCAACACAAACTGTGCAGCAGCAGATGAGCTATCGTCTCTGACTTTACATCTACAAGGTGGACTGACAAGGTAGGAGTGTCTAATAGAGTGGACAGTGAGTGGACAGTGTTGAAAAACTTCAGCTGCACTGCTGTGTCTGATCCACAACACACACTAACGCACCACCACCACGTCAGTGTTACTGCAGTGCTGAGAATGATCCACCACCCAAATAGTACCTGCTCTGTGAGGGTCCATGGGGGTCCTGACCAATGAAGAACAGGGTAAAAGGGGGCTAACAAAGTATGCAGAGAAACAGATGGACTACAGTCTGTAATTGTAGAACTACAAAGTGCACCTATAGAGTAAGTGGAGCTGATAAAATGGACAATGGGACAATGAGCTTAGAAACAAGGAGGTGGTCATAATGTCATGCCTGATTGATATATATATATATATATGTTATAGCTATATTAGACATTGTGACCTCTGGTTCCCATCAGTGCCACTTTAGCCAGCACGTTCTATCACAACTAACCATTTCGCATGAAACCTGTATTACTTTGTTTACATCTCAATAATTGAATTATGCAGAAATTTAGATCTGTGGAATTCTAAAATCTGTGGAATTCTACTTGAAATCGGATACAGTGAAAAAAGTTCTGCCTGTTTCCGCAACACCTGCACAACGACACTGGCCCCCTCACCTAATCCTATCTGTCTCTCATACCATTGACTATGCTTTGTGTATGTGTGTCCATCCTTTTGGTGCTCCATTGGTCTCTGGGTTCTAGCTCTACTGATTGGGACTGTACCTTCAACCTTCAGTCTGTCTCCATCTCTCCCGGCACCTCACTCGCATCTGTCTCCCCTTACTTTTCATCCATTGTTAACCTTCCATCCGGCTCTAATGCCTGGCGAGCCGTAGCGCTGAAGTAAGTCAGGGTCCATCACAAGCCCCATCGCCCCCTGTGCGCATGGGCCTTTGTGATAATTGGTGTCCCTGTGTGTTGTGTGTGGATATCTCAGCATGATTGCCATATGAAGGGCAGTGACTTTCTTTATGGTGTCTGTAGGTGTAGATATAACACTTGTTCTGATATCAACCCTGGTTGTGAATGTTTTCAAAGGCACCCCCTTCTTATTTAAATGAGGAATTTGTCCTTGAGTACAAATGCTCATTTTTTTTTCTAACATTTCCCATTTAAAACATGCAGATGTGCATTAGTGTGTTTTTATCAGTGTCACTCATCTTTTGAAGCTTGTCTTTTTTGTCATAATGCTATTCATCAGTGTTGTTGCCATCTGCTGGATGAATTCGGGTTGAATACAGCCTGAATCAACTGAATTTTTGTTAGAAATCTCATTACTCAAGGTTTTGAGTAATGCAGTGATTCTTGTCTCTGTGTGCATACTTGACTTTGTATGCATGTGCAATTGCATGAACTATGTCCCTCTTGAGCATTATAACCAAGTTCTCTATATGTTTTTGTGATTGTGTGCTTGTGTGTTCTGTTCAGGAATACATCCAAGCGAGGAGAATCTTTTGGCATTAGCCGCATTGGCAGTAAAATTAAGGGGGTTTTCAAGAGCACTACAATGGAAGGGGCCATGCTGCCCTCTTATGGACTTGCAGAGGGAGAGGATGATATGGTTAGTAAGCTTTACAGTATTTTTTTATTTTTTTTAAGATATGGCAGCTCTTTAGGAAAGAGTCAAGTGAGACGTTTGAAAACATACAGTTAGAGAAGGTATATCAATGCAGATAGGTGTCAGGACGAAAAAGGCAAAGAATGAATCCTATCCAGGCCTGCAACAAATCTATCCTGAAAGAGCACAGGTTCACATTATGTAAAGTGATAATGGGTAGTTGAGTGTTTGAGTAGTTTGAGCATGATAGTCTTCATCTCGTCTTTAGTGAAGTACTTCAATTAAAAATAGCTCTTTTTAAATTTTAGTAGCTTTCATAGAAAAGAAATATCTGATCGGAATCGGCTGATACTCAAAAAGTGGTATAGTATCATCTGAGCACTGTAAGATTTTTTGGTTAAAATTGAAAAAAGTAGCATTAAAGTCAGAGATGCTGGGTCGGATTTTGCAGCTTTTCAGACCACGCCATACATTTTTATGTATTAATGTCACACACACTGGCACAAAAAGGAAGTCTATTTCAATGTTCAGGCTTCAAGTGCAAAAGTCAACATAAAGATATGATGACAATAATAGATAATTCACTTCCATCCTTTGAAGACACGCCCTTCACTAAGTTTTGAGTGAGTTCTCTTTTAATACTCTATCACCGCGCTCACGATCATATTAAATACGTTCAGACATTCATTCTCTCAGGGAGGGGGTCCGGAGCACAACCGACATTACAAGATGTTTTTCTCCATGTTGTATGCAATGAAACATTTCCACCAGAGAGTTTTCCAAATCCCCAAGACCCTTATAGTGCAGCTTTCAGTTTACTTCCTGATTTTAAGAATGTCGTGATCAAGCACTGATGTTGATTCATAGAAAGAACATAATAATAACTTTGTTCCTTTTTGCTGATTTACCAGTGTGTCACAGCAGCACTGCCTCTGGTGTTTGAACCTCATAATGGGTTTGATTCTCTTTTTCATTCTAGTTCATGTTGGGAGCTCTTGAGTAGTTAGCAAATTGAGTAGATAATCAAGCTCTATCTAGCTTAGTCTTGGCTCACTCATGGTCAACTTGCCCATCTTTTTGGCTTTGTAGAACTACAGGGTTTACTGAACATGAGACAAAAAATTAAAATGAAATTTAAATATGTAAATAATTTTGGGGTGTTATTGATACAGGCATATTACTGATATCTTAACATTTTCAACATTTCATGCGTGGGCCTTATATTTGCCAGTATTTAATATAAAATAAGATTATTATAATAGTGCTGACTAGCTAGTTTTGTAGTTATGGTAGTTATAGTAGGTAGTTGTATGATATATTATAATTATTATTTTTTTTATTCCACCCTTACTGTATGTACTACTTCTGGAATATTAAACTGTGAACAATGTTTGTAGATGTTAATTATTGTTTTCTTCATTTAACTGTTGATATGCTGTAATTCATCAGCACTACAACATGTGTGCACTGCCATTCAAAAGTTTGTACTCACTTTTTACATTATTTTTAGTATAAATCCCAATTTTGTTGAAAGTACAAAATTATCCTATCCTGTTATTACTACAACTGTTATTAAAAACTTTTTGTGCTTCTCATCAAACTTTAAATATTAAATAGGATACTTTCTGGTGTGTAGCTTATATCATTTTGAACTACACTGTATAAATTATTATAAAATGAAATGATTGATATTTCAAGTGATTGCAGACTTTTCAGTGGTAATGTATATGTATGGACCTTCCCAAATATATAATAAACATTAAATATGTACTGCTGATTTGACTCTTTCTCTTCAATCTGATCACTTAGGTAGAGGAGGCCATCATGGTCATGGAGGATGACTCACCCATGGAGGCCATCAGCACCCCAAGCACTCCTCGTAACCTGTCAGCCTGGAGCATCACCATCCCCTACGTGGACTTATTTGATGATGAGGTCAAGAAGGAGAGGATTCCAGTGTATTGCATTGATGTAGAGAGGAATGATAGGAGAGCAGGTGAAGCCCAAAACGTTTGAGTTGTTTTAAGTCACAAATCATTTATATTTAATTGTGTTGCTTAAATAATGATACACTGATTGACATTTCAGTTCCACAGTAGTTTCTAAATGTGTGGCACTGTCAGTGAACTTTACTGTTAGTCACTGCTGAATGTCATTTGTTTTTCAGTGGGTCATGAAACAGAACATTGGTCTGTGTACCGAAGATACCTTGAATTTTATGTTCTTGAATCTAAACTCACAGAGTTTCATGGTAAGTACAACTTCACTTACAGGTAGTGGGTTTGCAGTTTTTTTTGTTTGAAAAATTGTTTAAGATGTAAAATATTTATCTTGAAACAGGATCATTCCCTGATGCACAGCTTCCTTCCAAGCGGATAATTGGGCCGAAAAACTATGAGTTTTTAACATCCAAGCGTGAGGAATTTGAGGAATATCTACAGGTAACAATAATTATAATATTATTAATGATGTGTATAAATTCATTAATGTGAGAATGAATGTTTCCATGATAGTGATTAAGTCCAGCATGTAAACCGTTAAATGTACAAGCTGTGTTTTTTCTGTTTACCTCAGAAACTACTGCAGCATCCTGAGCTGAGCAACAGTCAGCTGCTAGCAGACTTCCTCTCCCCTCACAGCATGGAGTCCCAGTTCCATGACAAGATGTTACCTGATGTCAATCTTGGTACTGCATCTTGTTATGGGTGACAATAGTCTTTGTTTCAAGTCAATAACTTTTAATAGAATGAATTGGCTTTTACCCATTTAGCTTTTTTGCAGTGACATAATGTTTGTTTTTTTGGCTCTCACAGGCAAAATAATCAAATCTGTGCCTAGCAAACTGATCAAGGAGGTTAGTTATTTTAATTTTTGTTTTGTTACTTTTAATGAACCAATGAAGCAGGCTTGTGACCTACTCTTTTTATGTATAATACAAGGGATTTTTAAGATATTTGTTCCATCTACTTTCTTGCTTTTCTTTCTTCAGAAAGGGCAACACCTAGAGGCGTTCATCCAGGCTTTCTTCAACTCATGTGAATCACCAAAGCCAAAGCCTAGCCGGCCAGAGCTCACAATTCTCAGCCCCACATCTGAGAACAACAAAAAGGCAAGCTTCCTCAGCCTTATTTAATTAGATTGCAGACAAGTAAACATATGAAAGTTCTCTAGTCCAACTGGAATATTTTGTGAATTAGCATGTTTAATGTTAAATTTTCCTTGTTATTCTTTAGCTTTTCAATGATCTATACAAAAACAATGCAAACCGTTCTGAAGTCACAGAGAAGAGACACAATCAAAATTACTTCATGGAGATGATCACTGTGGAGGGAGTATATGACTACTTAATGTTTGTAGGTAAGAGGTATGAAGCAGCCACAGCTATAGATATATTCTACCCACATGTAGCTGTACTGCTGTACATTGATAATTATCTACAACTAGTACATTGAGAATTGCTTTATTATCGTTAATGTTCCTTTCATGGTTGTTCAATTTTGGTAGGTCGAGTGGTGTTTCATATACCTGATTGGTTGCATCACTTACTGATGGGTGGACGCATCCTGTTCAAGAACACACTAGAAGCGTATACTGACTACTACCTGCAGAACAAACTAGACCAGGTTTTTCAGGAGCATCGTGTGGTTTCACTCATAACCCTGCTCAGAGGTAACGAATTCCAAACACAAAAGAATCACTGTTATCTGCTATTGAAAAATTAGCTGGAGTAAATGTTTTAAAATAAACAAGGCTTCAGCTTTATGCGCTGTAGTGTATGTAGAGTATTAAAAAGCCTTTGAATGTGACAGATTTCAGTATAGCATTAAATTTAGTGTAAAAAAACTTATAGTGTAAAAATTCTAGTCACTACAGCAATGCATTTCTGTGTTTTGGTAACTGAATGTATGCATGTCTAGATGCTGTGTTCTGTGAGAACAGTGAGCCACGTTCTTTAGAAGACAAGCAAAAAAGAGCAAAGAAGACATTCGAGGAAATGAGGAATTACATTCCAGGTTCCAAATGTTAATGCACAGTAACTTTGCATTTGATAGACTTAAAAATTTAAAAAAAGAGTAATTGTGGCATGTGCACAAATTTGGACACTGTACTAAGTCAATACTTAGTAACACCCCCTTTTGCAGATATCACAGCTTACAAATACTTCCTTCTTAGTTCTGAGATCTTTATGGGCTATTGAGGGCCATTTCACAAGCTTCAGTTTGTGTTTCTTGAAGTAGTTTGTGGTGGATTTTGAGGTATATTTTGGGCCTTATTCAATATCAATATTTCAATAATATCAATACAAAACCAATATTTTCCTAAGTCTTTTCTTAAATTTGTTCTTAAGGAAGGTCCCAAGAAAATGTCTACACCACATTCATGACGTGTTCTTAAACCTCAGAATTGTTCACACCTTTGTGCTCTTGAGTGTGTGTAGATTCTGTTCTTACCTAAGAACAAATCCCAAATAAGAAAACATTGGTGAATGCCAGAGTCTTTGTGAAAACTGCCTAAGTGGGTTTTAAGAAGAAATGTCTTCTTAAGAACGGTTGGTGAAAAAGGCCCATTGTTCTGTTGTACATTTTCAGATCCTCAGGCAGCTGGTTAGAGGTGCCCATGCTTGTTGAGTGTTACCACAAGGTTTAAAGAGTCAGAGAATTCATTATGATCTGAAATTGTCATCAGCTGACAACTCCTAACGACAATTCTAACCTGTCTATCCTGAGTCAATTAAGTTCTGAGATGTTAAAACTGTAAGGGTGTCCAAACCTTTGCACATCCCACAAGTATGATTTATTTTTTTTCTATTTTTCAAAAATAAATAATTAACTATTTATATGTAATTATCATGTAATATGATTTTATCTGTTAACTTCTGGATCAGTCATCTCTCATCACTCCTTCAGACAAAACAAAGTGGTTTTCTAATAAATGCTGTGTGCCGAAGTGAACTTGGTGCTTTCTGTGTTAGATTTCCTTGGTAAATGTATTGGAGAGGATGCTAAATATGAGGGGATACGGCTTCTCTTTGATGGACTTCAACAGCCAGTTCTCAACAAGCAGGTAAGTGGTCATACAATTTGGGCATCATGAATATTCATAATACAAATATGTTGTAATAAGTTAACAGTATAACAACTGTGTTATGTTCCCTTACAGTTAACATACATATTGCTGGATATAGCAATCCAAGAACTTTTTCCTGAACTAAATAAAGTAAGTTGCACTATATGCCTCTTAATGTTTATTACCAAACAACAATAATAATTGGTCATAATTATGTAGTAAAATGTTTAAGAAGTTGGAATCGTAACTTGTAAAATGAATTTCAGGTACAGAGAGAAACTTCTGTCATGGCTCCATGGATGTAGAAGAGGCACTAAGGATGATGAAACATTCTTATATCCCTTGCATGTATAGCATCCTGTATAAATATCAGAAGGACTAGAAATACACATATACAGTGTATTTCAGAGAGTATTTGTAATTTTCTGTAATGTGTAATTTTCTGTTATGGCTCAAAACATGAAATGTCTATGAGAGATGTGATTGATAAACATTACACTAGAGAGAATGAACATACTGAACAGGCCTGAAATGTCCATGGGTAGATCATGTTTTTGAATGTTAAATAACTGTTATTCATAATTATGAATCATGAACAGCACAGGCAGTAGTCTGTCTCCCCCCAGCCCAAAACAGCGGGTCAAATTAGCACTGAATTCTCTGAAAGATTGAAGGAAAGGGTTGTACAAACCAACCAGTAAGAAAGATATGTTTGAAAGCTTCAAAGGATTGGTTTATGTTTGCTATTCTGGTTGGACATAGTGTAAAATATTTGTGTTTGTAAATGTTTTCATGTATCCCTATTTATAAATGTGGCTTAAATTATACATTGTATTTTGCCTAATCAAACTAACACTAAACAACTGTAAGTGACTGAGCAAGTGAGCCACTGACCTGAATGTGAGCAGATGAGCATCACTGGAGCCATGTACCCTACCCTCAGACATTGCTCTCAATAGGTCAGGTGTTGATGTGCATATCTAATAAAACATTTTTTATACCTGTCAAAGCCAAAATTAATTTCTTCAAGAATATTAATTTTGATATACAATTATAGCCATAGATCATGTTCCCTGGAAAAGGTGGTACTAGCTACACACGGGATTGGTAATTTAAAGGGGAACTCCACAATTTTCAAAAGCTCCACATAATTAAGTGCTTTAGATGTTAACAAATTCATTCATAGTTTGGTGTGAAATGCCCCGTTCTAGAGAAACGTACAGTCAGAATTGTTCACAGTGGTGGTGATTGGAACCAAACATCTGAAAACCTTAATGCCTCTAACGGCTCCCTCACTGAAAGTTATTACACCAAATGGTTATGAATACGTAGCCTGATGCCTAAGATAGGTTAGGGGTAAAGTTTTGGCCTAAAATGTTTTTATTTTTTTTTTAAATACATTCATGGCAAAAGGGTACAAGCAGGGTGTTGTAAGGGAAAATAGTCCCCAAAGAAAACTTTTTTTTTTCAGACTCTCCACTATTTTACCATCATTAATCTTGCGTATAAAACTCTGAAGACGTGTAGATTCAGTGGTGGTTTTGGAAAGTAAATAAAATGGATATATTTTTGGGACATTGGGACCCTTGAGGCCGTATTCACAAAAGTTAAATGTGTGTGTTTAAGAAAAAAAGTTATGAAAATTTTTTATTTTCAAATAGCTTATGAATAATCATCTTTTAAATTATTTTCTTAAGAATATTTCTCAGAACAAGTGGTATTTTTGAAAACATTACGTTCTTAAATGTTTTCTCAACCTTATGAAAGCCTCACACTTGTCTTAGGCCATAACAGTTGACAAGGTAAGCATTTAAATCTATTACGGACACTACCTCTGCTACTCTTGACCGTCCTCATCTCTTGCTTTCCAAAGAGGATTTTTTTTCCTGTTGGCTATTTCTTCCACAATCACCTCTAGTTGTTGTTTGCTAAAGTTTTTTTAATGCTGGGTTTGATTTTGTCCTTATGTTTTGGGATTAAACTAAATAATGGAAATAAAAGTCAATACAAATTCAAAATGTATCTTGGTGTTTATGGGATGTGGTGAAATGCAACGTAGCCTACATAAGAAAACAATCAAAATTTTCTTAAGAAAATATTCAGTATTATTTTAATATTTGCAAACTTACTTTTTTTCAAGAATTTAATTTATGAACTTCTTAGTGTTTGTCTTAAGAACGTTTGCAAGTTTTTTCTTACGAAATATTTCGTGAATCTGGCCCCAGGTTCCTATCTCCACCACTGTAAAGACATCTGAGGCTGTAACTTTTTCTACAAAGGGCCGATTCATATCAAACCACTCTAAATGACTTTGTTTACATCAACAGCATTATGCAAAAATAAATAAATAAATAATTACAAATGTTGATTAATCGGTGGAATTCCCCTGTAAGTATCGATTCGTGAAAGTAAATGTTAGGATCGGAGGTAAGTTCTCGATACCATCAATTCGCCGATCTCTGAAAGTGCACATGGAGGTCTTAAGAGTAACGTACCCTGAAACCAGTTGGCTCCTTTATCACACATTCGAGTGGGATTATGAAGCACTATTTGATTTACGGTTAGTCCAAAAATATTAGCTAGCCAGCTAGTTGCAGTTGACAATAACAAAAATAATAATATAGTTAGTTAGCTAGATAGATTTACCTGTTGGCAAAGAAGGGTTGTTGGCTAAACATGTACCGTAACACCTTTGTGAACTAGCTAGCAGCGTGGTCCTTCATAATTTTTGCAAAGATTGAAAAGAAGTCCTTGTATTGCTGGTAGAACTAATAAATAAGAGCAATGACAAACTGCAATAAAGTCAATCAATGAGAGCCTGCAGCTAGGTAAGCTAACGTTAACTGCTAAATTAGCTAGCTTTGACTAGAAATGCTGAGCTAACGTGTAGTTAGATGGGTTGCTATGTAGCTAATTAGCCGTCAAACCAGCAAAAAAGTAACCTAACGTTTTAAACGATGTTACGTTAAGCAGAAATTATAGATAAATGCACATAAAACGAGCCTGACAGAAACATCTACTATCTTTATAATAGTTTATTGAGATGTCGTTACTATGGCCTTCGATAGCTCAGTTGGTAGAGCGGAGGACTGTAGTGGATACATAGAAATCCTTAGGTCGCTGGTTCGAATCCGGCTCGAAGGAACCGTTTTTGGTCACAACCATCGCAGCAAACCCTGAATTTATTGCCGCTGTGAAAAATCGATTGTTATTTCAAGTCCATTTAAATCAGTTTTTAATTGTCCACAAACGGGCCTAAGGCACAATACATGAAACTTGTGTGGGCAAATAACATTAGAGTGCTGGATAACCATAAGAGCAGACATGATACAAATGTTTATTTTGCAAAAAGATATACAGTAGTTTTCATTTTAAGAGCTATGTTCAGTTAACTCAGAATTTAAAGGCATCACACACACCCAGTGTGAACGCTCAAACTTTATAGCTTTAAAACATAGAGAGGAAACTCAGGATATGCTGACTGCGGCATTTTAGACAAGCCTTTTCCTTGTAAAATGAAACCAAAATACGTATTTGCAACACAGCATTTCATTAGATGCAAAAATAAAGTGTACCACTTTTCTTCCTCAGACTCCCAGAAGTTTCTTGGCCATGTAGCCAGGCATACTGTAGAGGAACAGGGCCACGATGGCAAGTAGGAGTAGAGCCAGAACGATTTTGATGACCAGCCACTTGTACTGGTTGCAGACAAGATGCCGGATTGCTTTTAGTGGGGTAATGAACCACAGGAATGTTGTGTCCGGACGGCTGTTGGAACAAAAGAGTTACACAGTGTTTAGCCTAGTATTATTTGTGAGCCACTGCAGAAATATAGGGAATTTGAGAATCATACTCCTGTCTATTTATCATAAATATTAGCATGTATTAGGAATTGTCTTGGTGTTTGGTCACAGCATGCTGCTTTCAGCACAATTTACATGTACACATTGCACCTTAAACATAGCATGGCAGTTATTTGTGTTAACAACAATGAACATACAGTGCATTAGACTTTACATGTTAAAGATTACATTTGGTGTAGCTTTTTAGTGATTTTGCTGCTTGATATCTGTGAAATAGCAGGCATAATCATCAAAATAACTGTTTTGCTTTCTATTTTTCACCAGGTTTCAAAACATCTACCCTCAAAATATATTTCAGATGATTTAAGAAGCCATTCTTTCCCTTCTATCTAATATTGGTATGTACACATTCTTTGTCTTATTCTGATTGTGTAGGCCCAACGTTATTGAAACAGTTAGGTCCCCCAAGCAGATGTATTCCATACGTTTTTCCTAAAGTACTTCTCAACAAGGAGCACTTAGTATTAAAAAAGTTTATAAAAAATAGTTTTAAGCTGCGTAGAGCTCGGCTCTTTGTTGTGGCTGTTCATAATTTTGTGTATTATTCAGTAAATATTGTAGTTTTTTAACTGTCTACAAATAAAAATGTGTTTGCATTGTATGTGTTTCATTCTTAGGCTGCAGAGGAAGGTGCCAGCAGATTACATACAGAACAGAAAGGTAAGTGCTTGTCTCTGGAAGACAAAGCAGTGTTTGTAGAAACAGTCCAGAAATGTTAATAAATACAGGAACAGTGTTTATTCTTTTAGGTACATCACACAAAGCACACACATATCACCTCCCAATTAGGAAATACAAATGAAGTCTGTTTATCTATAAACATTCCAAATACAGTGCAAACCTTGAATTAATACAAAACGTGTGTAACGTCAAGCACAAACCTGTCAAATTATATAATTTTAATACTTTCACAAGGATAGTTAAACTTTTTTTTTTTTTCGAAGAAAATTTCTTTATTTTGCAGTCTCACATATAGGAGTCTATTGTTGTCCATCTCTAACAGTTGCATAGAGAAGAACGTCTGGCTGGCTGCTGTAATTTGACCTGGCCAGTTTCTCCCAGATCATTATAGTCAGTTATGAGTGAAGTAGATCTCTCTTCAGTCACGCATGAACACTTTTAACACTAACACTTCTAAATATGTGCATTTCAGCACCACAAACCTTGCAGTGTAATAGTAAGTCAGTCACTACTCTACACTGCGCTTACCTCAGATTATTTCCTCATTACAGGTTTACATTTCGTCAGGCCTGGGCGGTAATGCAAAGCCATGCCTATAGACAACTTCTTTAAAGTGTGCATAATTTTATATAAGAAAAATGCTTGTAGTGCTATAATAAATCAGGAATTGTTTTGAAGTCTGTTTCAGTATATCGTACTCACTTTTTATACAGACCTTGCAAAATCCTGGCATTATATAAGAATAGTTCTGGTACTGGTCCTCAAGACCTGCCCCTTTACCTATAAAACACCTTGATTTTGAAAAGGGCTTAATTGATCTTATTTGCAATGTAAAGAGATAGACCTTTCAAGAACCACTTAATCTTCTGTTTATTATAGCAGGATGAATCGCACATAAGTCTAATCCTACGTAATATATCTTAAGGTCTTATTACACCTACTCAAGTTTAAACATTGACAGAATGGCTTTCGGAGCTGCTTTCCACTGTAAAGAGGGTCATTAAAACACATTTTTCAAGTTACTTTTAAATATTTCTCAGTGAATATACAGACACTACATACATTAATCACAAACATTGCACTAAAGGCCTATGGTTTAAGGACAGAAGTCCTCAGATAAACATAGCTGTGAAAAATAATTTTTCATCGTTGTCACCCACTTGTCTTATTAGCAGTGTCTGTACCTGGGCAAAAACAAAATGAAGGGCAACCAGAGATGTACAGTACTGTGTAAAAGTCAGAGACCACCCTTCATTTCTTTAATTTCCCGTCCAAATGGCCATTAAGTTATTCATTTTCAGGAGAAACTTCTGAGGAAATGACATTATAAGATTTACATAATGAAGAGGAAAGTCCAAGGTAAATAAGTGAAACAGGAGTTTCCAAATCTGGGGTTCAAAACATAAAATATAGAAAAAATGTGATTCAACAAACATGCGAGACCGGATGGACCACCAGAACTGTCACCATCAGATAAACACTACTTAAAGCTTTCGTCTTTGAGAGAGAGGAGAACATCAGGCTCCACTCTTGCTTCAGATCTGTCCACAGCTGTTTCTGTCCATCCTTCCACTGTGAGAAGACAACTCAAACCTATGGATCTGAAAGGATGTGTAGCTGTCAATAAGCCCTTAATGAGAAAAGGAAATAGATACAAAAGAAGAAAAATGGCAGATCAAACAAAGAAGGAGCGGCTTTCCTCAGAACAATGAACTGGCCACCCCACAGGCCAGACCTCACCATCATTGATTGTTTTGGGATTATTTGGAATGTGAGAAGCAGAAAATGCCTCTTTAAAAACTCAACTGGTAGGTCTGGAAAGTTTGTGCAGATTTCTGTAAAAAAAGCTGAAGGCAAGTCTTCTCAAAAGAGTGAAGGCAGTGATAAAGGCAAAAGTTGGACACACTAAATACTAAAAAATTTTTTGAGATAATATTTAGTTGTTGAGGCTTCTTGAACTTAATATGACTAGAATTTCAGAAATTGAAGGGTGGTCTCTGACTTCTGTATGGTACTGTATCTCTACATATACACAAACACATTTGTGAAGGGTAGGCATATGTTTCATACAGTATGCAGATTTTTATCTCAGATATGACATCACTACTACTCAGAAAGTCTTGAAGCTGCTGCCTCAAAGTGAGGCCAGTTTAAAGTGAATATTTAGCATCATTGCCACTTAGGCACCAAGTAGCTTTTTCACCATGTATCCTGGCATGCTGTAAAGGAATAAGCCCAGCATTGCCAGCAACAGCAGAACCACCACAATTTTGATGATCAGCCACTTGTAGTTGTTGCAGATGAGATATCGGATTGCTTTGAGTGGACTGATGAACCACAGGAAGGTTGTGTCGGGGCGACTGATGGGGGAAAAAAGAAAGATTGGTCAGTAAGTGTTTAGGATAATGAGGAATTCAGAATGAACGTATGCACATTGACAACTGCAGCTGTTTATGTCGCAGTTAGAAGGTTTTAAAAAGATTGCCCTGTTTGATATTGGACTTACCTATTTACATGAATGTTTACTAACTTTATATTTAGACGTTTTTAGCTACAACCTAGAATTCATGTTGAAAACTCAGCTGGAGTATACCTAAGTAGGCTGATTTACTTGCACACTGTGTACAGAGAAGTTATTAGTAACAATTTGATGTTTCCTCAGCACATTTGAAACGAAGCATATACTTGCAGTCTGTTTCAAAAGATATAAAGCCTTTCATAAAGGCTTTATATCTTTTACTTTTGGGTCACTGTTGTGTGACGTAAAAGTGAAATATTAGCAAAATATGATATTTAGGACACTACTTACCATAAAAAAGTAGGTAGATAAAAATCCGGATATCGGACGAAGAAATGGTCATTTCTTCAAGTGAAAGTACTTCCATAAAGTGGTGCATTTCTGTTTGATGCGTTTACATAATAAGCTTTCCTGTGTTTATATTTTTGGCCTATTTAGAATTACTGTTGTCTTGACTTTGACTTCTATGTGACTACTAGGTAATTGTATTTAGTTTTTACTTATTTATTCAGTAACATTGCCATTTCCCATCCTTTGTTAATGTTTTACATTCTGGCAGGACAGAAGTTCTGCAGTCTTCTTTCGATGTAAATGAGCTTTGCCACCATGTCTTGCATCTTGCAGGGCTTTACAGATTGTCTTCATGCATTTGAAAAAGGATTAGAAATTCTGGACTGCATTAGTAGGCTGCATCACTCCCTCAGCCGAGATAGAGCGACCCCTACAGTCCAGTACGTCTGCATTGGGCATGTGTCCAGTTATACAGTCTTAGATATTGCTGAGAGTTAATGGAGTGATAGAGTTTAAAAGCATTTGGCAAAACAATGCATTTCAAGTGCATATGTGCTAGATATAAGCACAGTCATATACCAGCACAGTATTAAAGATGAAAGAGCACAGTTAAAGGCAGAACAATGATTTTTTGCATCTGTTTCAAAAGATATAAAGCCTTTAATAAAGCTTTCATATCTTTTACTTTTGGGTCACTGGCGTGTGACGTAAAAGTGAAATAACAGCAAAATATGACATTTTTAGGACACTACTTACCATAAAGTTGGTTGATAAAGATATCAAATGAAGAAATTGTAATTTCTTTAAGTGCATTTCTGTTTGATGCGCTTACATAATGAGCCTACCTGTTTTATATTTTTAGGCTATTTAGAATTACTCTTGTCTTACTTTGACTCTGTGTTCTATGCTACTACTAGTTAGCTCTATTTAGTTTTTTACTTTTTTATACAGTTGCATTATTCTTAAATTCATCAGCTTAAATGTGCTAATTTATGCCTTTATTACATAACTCCATTGACTGAAAGTTTCCATGTCTTTTGCACTGGTTACATATTTTTTATCATAACAGTAGCTACTTCTAGATTTGTAAACTCATTGCATCTTGTTCCACTTTTTCAGATGGTAAAACAGTTTTACAATGCAGCTTTTATCAGAAGACAAAACAGCACTATAAATACATGTATTATTTTTGAAAGATATGATCAGCTCTTACTTTGGTTTCTCCAGAGGCTCTGGCTCATTGCGCCCTTCACCAACAGGACTCTTCTCTGCCTCCTCACCTGTCAGGAGGTGCAGCTCTGCTTCTACTTTCCCCTAAAAGATGAATGTAACCAGGCTGTTAGACTGGGCTTTCAGAAATTTGCTTGATGAGTACCAAGTTTCTGCATGTGAGAGAAATCTTTGTAGTTTGTAAATTATATAGTTGATCCACATACTGTGATTTCCATTTCATCGTTTTCATCTCTGGCTATAAACGGCCACCATCCCTTGATTCTTTTCTGCTTGAAGATGTTAACCATTGGCATGTCTTGTTCATTAAGAACCATGTCAATCGTGCACTGTTTTGCTGTTTTTGCACCGCGAGGAAATCTGTTCAGGTCTAGTTCAATTGCACCTAAATGGAAGCACAAACATGCATGTAATGATAATATAATAATCATTTATTATAAAAAGTATACCTGCAAATTCAACATTATTGGTAGCTACTGAAGTAAGCCTTAAATGTGGAAATACACCACATGGACAAAAGTATTGGGACACTTACACATTACGCCTACAGGAGCTTTTATGACATCCCATTTTAAATCCATAGGCATTAATAATTGGTTCCCCCTTTGCAGCTATAACAGCTTCTACACTTTTGGGAAGACTCTCTACAAGATTTTGGAGTGTGTCTGTGAGAATTTTTGCCCATTCATCCACAAGAGCACTTATGAGGTCAGACACTGATGTTGGACGAGAAGGCCTGGCTCACAATTTCCGCTCTAGTTCATCCCAAATGTGTTGGATCAGGTTGAGGTCAGGGCTCTGTGTGAGCCAGTCAAGTTCTTCCTCACCAAACTCACCCAACCATGCCTTTATGGACCTTGCTTTGTGCACTGGGGCACAGTCATGCTGGAACAGAAAAGGGCTTTCCCCAGACTTTTCCCACAAAGTTGGAAGCATACACTTCTCACAAAATGTCTTGGTTTGCTGAAGGATTAAGATTTCCCTTCATTGGAACTAAGGGGCCTTTGCCGACCCCTAAAAAACAACCCCCAGGCATTATCCCTACTCCACCAAACTTTACAGTTGGTACAATGCAGTCAGACAGGTAACATTCTCCTGCCATTCGCCAAACCCAGACCCGTCCATCAGACTGCCAGATAGAGAAGTGTAATTTGTCACTCCACAGAATACATTACCACCGCTCCAGAGTCCAGTAGCAGCGTGCTTTACACCTCTCCATCCAACGCATTGTCATTGTGCTTTGTGAAGTCTTGCATGCAGCTGGCTGGCCATGGAAACCCATGCCATGAAGCTCCTGGTGCACAGTTTTGTGCTGATGTTAAAACCAGAGGAGGTTTTGAACTCTGCAGTTACTGAGTCAGCAGAACTTCGGCGACTTTTATGCACTATGCGCCTCAGCACTCTGCGACCCGCTCTGTAACCTTACATGGTCTGACACTTTGTGGCTGAGTATCTGTGGTTCCTAAACACTTCCACTTTTCAATAATACCACTCACGGTTGATCGTGGAATATCTAGGAGGGAAGAAATTTCGCAAACTGACTTGTTGCAGCGGTGGCATCCTATTACAGTACCACGCTTGAATTTAGTGAGCTCTTTAGAACAACCCATTCTTTCACAAATGTTTCTAAAGGCAGACTGCATGGCTGTATACACCTGTGGCGATGGGACTGAATGAAACACTTGAATTAAATGATTAAGAAGTGTGTCCCGATACTTTTGTCCACACAGTGTGCCTGGTAGTTGAGGGGTTAAGTCCAGGGCTCCACCTGCCCAGTTTAAAGTATTACTCTGCCCAAACATCATGAAGCCATTGATATTTAGTTGATGGTTTGGATCAGTTGTGTTTGGGCAGGGTAATACCTGGAACTGCATGGAGGTGGATCCCCATGACTGGAGTGAAGCTATGCTATCCTCCCCACCCCCTGCCAGTAAATTTGACAAATGAAAGAGTGTCTTACCCAGAAAGTCATCTGCAGAGAAATGATCTGCATCCCAAACTTGTAGGTTCAGACGAGCAGGGATCTTGTACTCAGTCTCGTCCCAGGAGAACATGGATTCCTTCTTTGAGATGACAATTTTCTCTTCAGCCATTAGGTAGTCAAAGGGGTAAATGAAGCGCCAGTTAAAGTTCCCCTCCCCAGTTAGGGAATGGTAGTGGACATCTGTGTCTTGCTTGTCTTCTTGTTGTCCTTTAAGCCATCTGGAAAACCCAAAGTCAGATTTCAAACATATTAGAAGTGTCTCATTTGATGTGAACTGTAGTGACAACAATGGTGGACACAATATGGAGTATTTTTTAAGGCAAAGGCATTGTACCCTCTCACAAAAATGTCACTGGACTTCTCTCCTGTGAATATGTCATCATCTTCCAGAACAACTTCATCTGTATTCCAGACGATCACCCTGAGCTCAAACCTGTCAAAAAGCAAATCGCAGAAAATGTGTTTTTTTGTGCGTGTGTGTTGTGTAGTATATTCACCCTTCACATTTAAATACAGTCATGTTTTGTTGATTTTCTAAATGAAAATAAGTTAACAAATCATCTAGAGAGAACACACTTCTGTATATTTTAAAGCAAATTTACTCTTTATTTACTGCATTTAACATATTGCGGGTAAAAATAAAATGTGTTTATTTTGACATTGTTGATTTTGTAAGTAAAAACACATTAACATGTTATATAGAAAATATTAAATTGAAATTGCACTAATTGCAGAAAAATGTCATATTTAAATGTTCTCTATAGAGAATGTGTTAACTGTTTATCACTTGGAAGATCAACAAAATGTAATTTGACCAGGGGTGTTCAAATTTTGCATTCAACTGTAGAAAAACATTCATGGAATTCAAAGCAAAAATGGTGATTAAGTATGAACCCCTACTTCTTTGGTTTTCTTGGTGAAATATCAAGAGCAGGTCCCGGTGCTGGCATATCCTTTGGAAACATGTCCACCCACATCTCAATTCTCCCCTACACAGTGAAAGTGATGAACACATCATGGAATGTTTACATGGAGTTGATTGTTAGTTGGCTACTCTTAAAAATCTAGTGTGAATCCTTTACAGAATCAATTCTAAAATGTTTATGGACTTTAACAGTTTTAATCTTATTTATTATTGTGTTAGAATGGCAAAGATTGGTCACTGACCTGCTCAATCCCAGGCTTATCAGGATTCAGTAGAGGTCTTGTCTCTACATGCTCTGGGACAATTTTGCAACCTGCTCGTGGAAAGTCCTCCCAGTGGTTAAGGACAGCAAGAGCAAGGTGCTCATCTGTTTGTTTTTTGAGCCCTGTCGGAAAATATCCATATTACTCAAATTCTTGTCATCTGGCATACTGCACTTTTTATCATTAACATTTATGTTGTGTGTTAAGATTAAGATAAGCATTAGCATTCCTACATGAAACTCACATGATCATTTTAAATGGTCTAGTTTTATACTGGCACTTTGTTATTTCAGGCCATTTGGGAGAGATGGCATTGCCACTGCATGCTGAGCAAAAAATACTTTCTAATTGGCTGGATAAGCCGTTGTTATTATGTTCATTTTCTGAGTCTGTCATTACTGGTGCCAGAGTGAAGCAGAGGAAAAGTCAGGAACTTCGGCATGTACACACTGTAATTTTGGAGCAACAAAGAAAGGACGTTGCCAGAAGGAACTTGTTGGTGATACATTCACTACTTTAGATTCATAGATCTCTAGATGCTTTAACCTTATTTTGAAGCACCCACCCCTTCACATTACATTGTTATGGTTTGAAAAGAATGAACACTTTATAATGAATCAAAAACCTTTATATGAAGGCATAAGAAACTTAATGGTCATGTATGAGGGTGATGATATAAACAAATCATTTTAATTTGATAAGTAATAACTAGGTGTTTTTTTAACACACACACACACACGTATGTACCATTTTCATCCTCAATTTCAGTTGGTCCTGTATAAACTCTGTTTGCCACCTTCACTTTTCCTCCAGGTCCATACTGAGGTGGATCTAGTTTGTTATCCTTGCAAAGTTTTGCTAGGATTTGTGTTGGCTTCATTGGGTCCCTCCATACGTTGTAGCCATGGCTATAGAAACAAACAGATGAAATGATGAATATACATCTGTCGTCGCTGTCCAAAGAAAAACAAATATCTTCAAAATAGTAACTTTACAGGAGAAGGCAAAAACCTTCTTTACTTTCAACATAAGTTTTTGCACAGTGTAAAGGGCTGCTGAGCTCAAATGATGCAGAAAAGTAAAAATCGCAAAAAATGGAGATACATGTTTTTCATTTGACAGCAATGATATATAAAGTAGAAATTACTCTAGATCTTTGAAAGCTTATATGGTAGTATGGTAGTTTAACTATTCCTCACTTGCTATAATGCCATAACTTATACCCTAAAATGCTATAATTTATAGATTTATTATGTTATTATTTATTATGCTATGATTTATAGATTAATTTTAAAATATTAGCTCTTGAACATACATACTATTGGCAGCTTAAAGGGGCATTCCAACCTAAACATGGCATTTGATATATTATTTCTTGTATTATGCAGTACAGCAATTGGAATAAAAACATAGCATAGCCACAGATGTATGGACTAAAAAGTACAGACATGATATTTGCTTATAGCCATAACATTAGCTATTTGGTTTCCTTCTGCATGCATTTTGTTCAGTGTTATGAAATATATAAATCATCATCAGAAGGGAGGTTTCGTTTTTTTCATTTGGGACAGAGTATCCTTTTAAACATGCATTGAAGTTAGATTAAATTGCAGTATAATTTCTACATGTCTTCTCGAAGAGTACCACATACATTGCATAGTTTGATGCAATACCACATATAGCCCTGTGCTTGCTGTAATAGCGGTTCTCCAGATCAATTTTGGTCTCCCCAATTAAGTCATCGGTGCCGACCAAGTCCCAGTCATAGATGGACACAGTGAGGGTGGAGTCCATTGGGAATGTTGCCTCAATGTCAAACGATCTAGGAGGATTGTGGACATGAAGTTTAGTTTTCTAGCGTATTTTAAGTACTTCATCATTCTGAGTTGATGCTTTACTACATGCGGAAACATACATCAAAATTGAAGTAGGAATAAATAATCTCTCCCAGTGTTGAACATTCAGAACAATTAACTTAACTTTCCAAATTTATATCAGTACTTTTCTCCTCTATCAATGATAATCTCACATTAAACTGAAGATGAATGCATAATAATATGTAACACAAACTCACTTTCCAAACACAGGGTTAAGTTGTTTAGAGATGTAGTTTTCTTTGTCTTTGATCTCTGACTTTCCCAGCTTAATGGCAATATATGGATCTGCTTTCCCGTTTATGTCTGCAGGGTGCAGATCTGTAGCCTGTGACAAATCCAGTTCAGTTAAGAATTTACAGTTGAAGGAGATCAAACATATTTCTTGGGAAATTCCATGGATTTTTCAATATTTCTGTATAATTTAAAGGTTAAAATGTAAACAGAGTCATTCAGAGTGGTTTGATGTGAAATACTCTGTTCCAGAGAAACAGAGTCAGAATATTGCTGAATACAATCTGTACAAATATGCTGCCTGATGTCCGAGACATTTTTTGGCATAAAATGTATTTTTAAAATCTATGCATGGCAGAGACCCACGTGCAGGGCATTATCAGGCAAAAATGTCCCTAAATAATTTTTTCAGACTTATCAGTAGTTTTGTGTTAGTGTTAGTCTGAGTTAGTAAATTTCTCTACAATAAACCATTTTACATCAAACCACTCTAAATGACTTTGTTTACATCTCAACCAATGAATTATGTAGAAAGTTTTAAAAATTGATGGAATTTCCCTTTGATTAGCAAATTCTGCCTATGTATCTTAATAAGTATATACGTACCCTTATAACATAGACTCGAACTAAAACATTGATTGGGTCATTGTGTGGAATGTTTTGGAACATGCCCATGTTGGAATCGATGCCCATTTCTCTACTCATTTCGTCTGACATAGGCACTTTGTACATACACAAGGAGCCCTGCAATAAACAACATCCGACACTTAGATTGATTTAAAAAAGAAAACCAGCAACTAAACTTAATCTTTATTTGTTTCCCTGGACTTACTTTGAATTTGCCAATGAGTCTGTCTTCATCTGATGCATTTTGTTCATCATCATCTCCACTCTTCCCTCGATAAAGGTTGAATGTGTGGAGCCAGTCTTCAAAGTGATCAAATTCGTTCTCTAGCTCTCTGTTGTACACCTGTTCAGAAGAGGAAAGATCTCTGAGACTGTTTCATAATGACTGTAACTGAGAATGAAATTACATTCTTTATTCCACCAGTAAAACAGCAAGCACTTAATATTTACCTTCAGCTCATCGATTTTGGGCTTTTTCTTCTCTGGTGGTCCCTCTCCTGGCCCAGCTTTGTTCTTGTCCTTGGCTTTTCCTTTTTTCTTCTTGGCCCCTTTCATATTAGAATCATCAGGTTTGATATCTGGTTGTAGGTTAGAAGGGGAAGAGGGAAAGGCGGGTGCACACAACACGCTCAAGACATGAATTCTTCATGAAAGTTGCCGTACCATAGCATCAAAAAACTAAGTGATATCGTCTCTGCATTGGAGCCAACTGAACTGGTTTAGTTGAGACAGAGGCTCCAAACATTCTGCACAAAAGTTTGAACACCCACAGTCAAGGTAGAGGTTTTGTTGATTGCAAGTGAAAATAAGTTAAAAAATCATCTGCGGTTTTGCACAGTTTCTGTTTATTTGCTTCATTTAACATCTTGGAAAAAATAATGTGCCAAATAAACAGTAATAAAATGTGCAGAAGTGTGATCTGTGTAGAGAATGTGTTAACTGACTTTCACTCAGAAAATCATCAACATCATTTGACCAGGGGTGCCCAAACATTTGCATATTACTACATATTTAAGATATATGTCATGTTTATTAAATAACATGCACAGTAATAATGTAAAATATAACTTAAAATATAATATTATCATGATATAATATTATAGTTATATTTTAATATTGTTAGAATTAATTATTGTATAATGTAATTTTATGTTATAAAATATTATGTAAAATTATCAGAACACTGAAATCAGTTTTAAATATTTCAATTTATAAAGTTTAAATGAATGTATTTGTAATTAAAGTCATCACAGCTTGTGGTCAACTTTCATGGCTGGCATGTACTAAGGTTCCATGCCACATGAGTTTCATACCTGAGTTTAGAAGAACCATTTACATTATGGTAGTTTGAGATTCATGTCTGTTTAAAAATGAGTTCAAGAGAGGCTGGGGGGCAGGGGTGGGGGGTGGATAGATCAAGATGTACTGAAACAGATGTTTGTGAGTAACATGACTGATAACACATGTATAGTCTCTAAGCACACAATATAAAATGCAAAAACATTCACAAACAGCAAAAGGTATGTACACACAGCCCCTTTGACTGATAATGCTAATATTTGTTTGTTAGTGTGATTTCTCTTTTATTTTTTTTGCAGGTTCATTTTTGCTATTTTTTATTTTCAAACATAACTATTTTGTGTAATGGCTATAACAAGTACTTTTTATGCACTTTCAAATGCGTTCTCTTACTCTCCAACTATGACACAATCTTTGATAAAAGCCAATATAAACCTTTCTGGAAATTTCAAACAGAATTCCACAAAATATACAGGTATTTGTTTGCAGGCATTCATTGATTTTTAAACTTAGTTTAATTTAATTTATAAATCATTGATATCAGTGATAGTAGCTGATTATGCTTCATTATGAGAATTAGAGAGCAGAATTTTAGCAGCTCGCAGAGTGGAGTTTTAGTAATGACAATTATATTCACAGTTTTCTCTGATATATATATTACACAGTTTTTTTTTCCTGAACCAATTCTTTTAGGTATGTGGGACTACCTTACTGCATGAAGGCATGAGGGATATTAGTGTCTTTACCTGCCCCCTCTGTGTCCATGTCCTCTCTCTCCTCTGCTTCAGCTTTCTCAGCTTCTTGGGCTTTTATTATCTACATAAGAAAAAAACATAGTTCTCACTTTGAACATAAATACTGTAAAACTTTTTTGTTATTTTCCTTTAATTTATGTTGAAAATCCACCAGGTAGCTCTGTTAACCCTTCTTATTAAAAGAATGAAATTTATGTAGGGCTCTTACTTCCATGAGCGTTTCGATGGAAGCAAAGTACTTGGACCACCAATCCAGCATGCTCTCATCGAGCTCTTCTTCCTCGACGTCCTCCCCACCTTTCTTTCTCTTTTTCTTTCCCTTTCCATCCTTCTCATCATCAGTCTATCATAAAATATGAGAATACTGTAAGTCACTGCTAATTCAGTTAACTATTTTAGTTAATAAATTCATTAGAAACTGTTTTAATACAAGCAGAACACTTTCAATGTCATTGTTATCTCGGAGTTATAAGGAAAAGTCTGGGTAGATCATGTTTAGACAGGTGAAGCGTCTTTGAAGATGTTCTAATAATATCCTTTTAAATTTTTGCACTGTTTGTCGTCATGGAACAGGATGGAAAGTAATGTAGGCCTAAACCTACCATATGTAGAGTCCTGCAATACTTACCAGGTGTGTAAACCAATAATACAATAACACATACTTACCATGTCAACCTTAACAACAGCATCTGAGGCCTGTTGGGGTAAACAGACACAAAGTGATTGCATGCTTAGAGCCTCCTGTTTCCTACAAGACGTTTGTTGTTGGAAGAATTAAAAGCTACATACTGAGTCAAGTTTGACTACTGTCTCCATCTTCTTCACAACAGGTTCTGGTTCTGTGTGGATCACAATTTCCTCTGTAGATCAAATATAAAATGTCAGACTTTTTTTTTTTTTTGGTTTGTATTTTGTTTCTTGTTGTTTACCAAACAGGAATCACTTTTATATAATCTAATGGGTGTGTCTAAAATCGACCCAGTCATTTTAGGGGTGGTCCATCCAGAAATCAAGGGTTTAGTAATGGCAATGTTTATAAATAGGGCCATGAACACTCAACAAACTACTGAATGTAAAAATGCACTGGTTCTTCTCTACGATGTAAAGCCTGTTCTATAAATGTCACAAATTCTTTAAAACATAGTGCCATTAAGGAATCCACTATTGTCAAAGAACCTTTTTTGGGGAACCCTTTTTTGCTAAGAGTGGAGGTGTACCAGAACACTACAAATGATTTATTTCAGTATTACCTTAAAATGTAGGACATAACCACAAAAGGGTTCATTTCCTCAATGTTCTGAAAAATTTAGAAATTTTACAGAAGCACAGTTTTTCCAAGGTAACAATTTAAGACCAGGGGGTACAATTTGAGACACACAGTGGTGATCACTTGACTGTTAATTGTTTAGCTAAAGGTAGAATGGTTTTTGCCATATTTAATTGAGAATCATATCCGTTGAGGACTTTCAGAAAATAAGAATAGCACAGTAAAAATGTGATCCTTAGCTGTTGGACACAGCTGTATAGGCATTAATTTTACTAGATCATTGCAATCATATATTAATAATGGCCTGGAAGTACCCACCCATAGTAGACCAGTTGTTGACGCTCTTGTCAGTAGGTCTGTAGATGAACTTGCGCAGTGAGGTGACTGCATGGGAGCCAACCAGCGTATAGCGGCCAAAAGCTCTGCAGTCCACCACTCGAATGTTAAGAGGAGGATGGAGAAGCTCATTTTCTGGCAGGTCCTAGTAGACGATAGAGAGTAATATTATTATTGGTCTCCCGCCAGTGGGGGTCATTGCTGTTGAGTGTTACTTTATATTTACACCCACCACTTCAAACCACTTGACCAGAGTGTTAAAATTGGGATTTTTCTTGTAGTTCTGAATGAGAGCTGACTGTATCCCCTTCCCAGCACATTCTATGTCCACACGTGGTCTGTCAACCTGGGCAAGGTTTACTCGCTTCAGGTCTCTTAGGCCCCAGAACAAAACCTGCAACGGTCAGTTCAGTGGTTAAACTTTGTAATATGTGGACATTACATTACCATTTTCCTACAGTCACTTCTCAAGCATCTCACCTCAATGCGGTATTTGCTCAGGACTGGTCTAATACCAATGGGGACTGGTAGGATTGGACCACGGTCCATATCTGTTGGTCCATCAATGGGGGGCAAGTCAGCCTTTCCACCTGGTCCAATCTGAAAGATCAATTGAAAAATCTCATTTTGGTCTTCACTATCTTAGATTACATTAATACAATGTAAAGATTCTTACTATAGTCATATTACCTGCAACAGTTCAAAAGCAGCAAGCATTTCACCAGCAGTGCAGTTCCCACGGTAGACCTGGTAGTACTCTAGCTGAGGAGGAAAGCGTGGCGGCCCATAATGCTCATCTGACATTTTAGTTATTGGCTTCGCAAATGTTCTGCCCATGAAGTCAGCTTTGCCCTACGAATATGGCAAAATTTGCACTGTCAGCACTAGAAATGTAAAACTGTTGAGAAAGCACATTTGCATAAGATAATGCCACAATGTTTAAAAAATGTATTCCATACCACAGTGTCCTGGTCATAGATCTCAATGACGATAATTGGAGGGTCATCCCTTAGTTCACTGGCCTCACCATACAATTCAACATTGTCAAATACTAGAAGTTGATCCCAAGTGGGGCAAAGGGTCTCATTCAGAATCTGAAAGGAAGGAATCACATGATTAAATTTGAACATTTAAATGCCTCTTAGTTTTCTAGCACAGCTGACAGTACTAAAAAAGTTTCATTTAAGGAGACCCTCACCTCTGTGACCTGGCTGTGAGTAGAAAAGAAGACTCTGGCAAAGGGGTCTGACAGACCTGTGCTATCGGCTGCAAACAGGCTCCTTGCCTGGTACATGTGCACCCTCAGCTGGAAGATCTGCTTCACTGTTGCAAACAAATCAAGATCACAGGTCTTAAATAACAGATAATTTCATCTGAATTTGATCATTTCATCCAAGCGGCTTTTGTTTTCTTACTGGTGTAGATCAGGCTGATTGGGGGTGATGACTGCATGCCAGGCCCCTTGACTGCCTTGTTCTCCTCAAATCCATTTGGTAGCCCATTCAAGAAGTCCTTGCGCTGCCTGTTCAAACCCAGCCAGAGATACATCTCTGTCTTTGCTTGCACTGTCCAGCCTGCTGGCCCAAAGCCCTTTTTACCTGGGAGCTAGGGACAGAGAAGTTATTAGTTGTACTTTCAGTGACAGTGATGCAGAAAATGATTTCAGAAGTCAGTACTTTACTGAATTTTATCTCACTTTGAAGAAAATGGTCTTGACTTTTCCACAATCTTTCCCAGTCTCCTCCTCCACATTAGAATAAAGGATGTCTTTGGAGGGCACTCTAGCGTATGCAATGCGCTTGCCATTGCTGATCATCCATATGTAAACATCCGGAACGCTGTGTTGAGGCTGTGATGAAATACATTTTTTATATATGAAAATTGCAATAGCTGCTACTGTGCTTTAGACCACATGATGACCAAGTTTATACTCTTAATTAGCATTTATATTTTTATCGTACCTCATCAGCCAAGAATCTCAGTTTCTGGAGGAAGTTTTGTGCCTGTTTGAATTTATCCTTTACTGTTTTTTTCTTCACCTGAGTTCGCATTGTCTTTGCTTGTTGACCCATGTTTTCCTAAGAAATCCACAGATTTAGTGAAAATCACAATCAATATCATCTACAATATGAATTGTTTCCAAACATATATTTGAATTTTGGAGCTCCTTTGAGTACTGTACCAGCTCCCGCATGCAAGATTTCAGCCTTTCACGGTCCAACTTTGTTTTCCCTGCCTGGTTTTGGTCCTTGTTCGCCAGTGTTAGAAAGGTGCTGAAACAATTTGAGAGTTTTTTTTTTTTTACCTCTTTAAGACCAAATAATATATACTCTTGGTGCAGTGTTAACCTGATTGTTGTCACCTTAAACTTAATAAAGTTAACTTAATGAAACTTGATAAAAACAATATTCAAACCTGCAACCATTGCTCAGTTCCTCTAGAACCCCTCTGAGTCTACGCTCAGGAAAAGCTTTCTCCGTTTTGATGATCTCCTGAACATCGTTCAGTCCTTCTTCCTTTTAAGCCAAAGGAAAGTTTCAGAGTTAGTTTCAGACACATCTAAATATTAAAGATAATAAGCCATGTACACTCTTAACAAAGTGCCATTATTTGAAAGATGTCACAGAAGAACCAATTTTGGTTCCCTAAAGAACCATATTTGAGGTTCTGTACTATATTTAAGAGTTCTTTAGACAATGAAAAGTGGTTCTATGGCATCTTGCAAATAAATCATTTTAAATTGTCACTTACCAACTTATCTGCAATGTTGTCTATTATGTTGGCATTGTATAGTCTCCTTCTCTGGTCTTGCCACCAGCTCTTGATATAGATGCATGGCTTCCTCTCAAAATATGGGAGGTGAAAGTAGTTCCTGTTGAATTAGCAGTAAAGAATTGGCACTAAATCACTCACAGTTCAAAACAGTTGATAGGTGTTTAATCACATTGTAATCGTGACTTCAGTGTGCTGAGTATTTCTCTAGTTCTACAGAGTTCCTCTCAGACCTGTCAGTGATGACTGGTTTCATTGGTGGAGTGGTGGAGACGGACACCAGTTCTCCATCATCCATAGTTTCTTCATCACTTGAGCCTTGGATGAGCTCAGACTCCTCGTCATCACCATCACCCTTCTTCGACTTCTTTGTTTTCGGTTTGGTAGGGGTATCATCAACCTCACTTCCATAATTTCCTAGTATAGAGAGGACACTTCATGTAAGCAGTTCTTAATGTTTTTTATTTCCTGAATGATCTTCTTAAAGATTCTTCTTTACCTATTGTAACTTCAAAGTTGATTGGCTTATCACCAATCTTTCTGTCAATCATTGTCGCTTCCAGGAATGCTCCAAACAAGAAAAATTCTTCGATCTTCCCAGTGGCATTCTGGGATTAGAGGAACAGAGACAGGGCACCTTTTCTTTAAGTATTTTCAACTTCTCACTTACGCATACGGCATATCAGAAACCAAGGAGATATAAGAGATATGAAAAATGCATTCATCTTTAAGCTAAATCAAGCTGTGTATTGTGCAGAGCAAGATACAACAAATTAATCTTTAAAATGTTTTTTTTGTAATCATGACATCACCAATTCTTACCTGGTGGTTTCTCTAAAAGATGGTTCTAAACTATTTTTCTATCTCATTTTAATACACCATCTGTCCTTTACGTTGTGTGAAAACTTTTGATGAATGGACCAATAGAAATGCTCCAGAATCACTTGGAATAAAATCTCTTTAACTTAAAATTAAGACTTAAGAGGGTTTTTGCCTTCTCCTGTGAAGTTACTATTTAGAAGATAATTGTTTTTCTTTGGACAGCGACGATATTTATAATTATTATAAACATCTATGTTACTGTAATGATGCTATGAAAGAATTTATAGTATAGCAAATCTTTTCCAGAATGAAATTTCTATTAACATAATTTTAATTTTAAAGCACACAATGCTGGACATCACAGATTTAAAACATTACATAATATGCAATGGAAAAAAGTAGATTGAGACTGGTAAGTTTAAAAGTATAAAAACACAGAGGCATATTTCAGGAAGAAACCTAACCTTGATATACCCTACTGTGTAGAAGATTGTCTTGTTACAAAAAGGACCACAGAATAAAGACTAAATAAAAGGTATCAATAATTCACAGTAATTGCCCAGTGATGACTTCCCACATCCATGGATCACTTACCTCAGAAATATTGGGCACCCCCTCCACCTGCACCTCAGTAGAGCTCATTACTTCTGGAGAGGACGTGTCCAAAATCTCCACAGCCATGCTGATCAGCAGCCGGGCCCGAAAAGAGACGCCCTCTCCAAGTCCCTCATTCAAGTCCTGGTACTCGTCCATCAGGGTATAGCTCCGTGTTGAACCGTACATGTTGACCCAGGCCGGTCCAAGAGTTGGGAGAAAGCCTGGAGATCAACATAGGATAACATCCTTAAATTTCATTCTGATCTTTCATTTATTAACATTTAATGTACAAGAATAATTTTGTCACATAACAACATTGTGTGTATAAATCCACAATAAGCAATGAACAACATGGTAAACAATGAAGTGAAAGACAAAACAATAGGTGCAAAGAAAGATATTAGAAACACCTCATATTTAGAGAAATAACACTCGAAAAGGGTTTCATAAGTTAACACATTTTACGTCATATTGTTGTCTGTTTTGAGTGTGAAGGGATTTTGAGATGTGATATGCTAATAACTGAAAATGACTACTGTCTATGTATTATAGAGAGTATGTAGTTTATCTAGTGCTGAATTACACGGAAGCTTGCACAGTGTATCCTCTTTCTGAGGAGTAGCCATTCCTCTGCCTGACTTGAGTGTTTTTCTTTAGTGAAACAAAAATATTCTTCCCTATAACTCTGTCATCAGATTAACTAGGACATTGTTGCCTCTTGGTTTGTGAATTATTGTGACTGTGTTGAGCTGCTATTGAGCAATAAGGGGAAAGGGGAGGGATGAGAACCGTTCAGAGGTAAAATAACAGCACAACTGCAGCTTTCTTCATATCAAAACATAAAAACAGGTTTAGAAATGTCTGCTTGCTTGCTCAGTATGAAAACGAATATGTAGTTCACTTCCAGTTTTGTAAATTATGCACATTTTAACTTAACTACATTTCACTAGTATAAAAAAATGCATGATGCAAAAAATGCACGTCCAAAACAGGCAAAAGTTTAATTTGAATGATTCTGTGAAAAAAGATTATGATTTTTACCAAAATATGTACAGGTGAACAGGAACTGTAAGACTCACCTTTATCTCCATCATTGGAGATCTTTCGTAAATCAATGAAATGAGTTCCGATGGCCACATCGTTTACTTTGTCAGAGTCACGGATTTGGATCTTCATGCGCTTGCACAGCGGTGGAAATTGTTCAGTGAAAATGATCTGCTCATTCCAGATTGGTTCATAGCAGCTCTTCTGGATTGATGTTTTGCCCTACAGCACAGAAAGGAGAATTTAATATAACTTTGTATTACAGTGGCCTGGATTAATGAATATTATCAACACCAACATTAAAAACTTACCTTTTGACCAGCAAATTGCACCTGAACGTATGGATCAACCAGATCTTTATTTTCTCCAATAAAAGCCTTTTTCACATTGGCCATGATGCTGGTGTTCATCTTGGGTAGCCCTTCAGCTCTGTAGATTTTCACATAGAATCGTGCCCACTGACGCTCAGCTGGAACGCCCTCTGGCAAAAGAAGATTCCTAAAACACCCCAAAAAGAAACACTTTAGTGTTTCAGTGGTATAGACTGGGCATAATTCACTTTCTCACAGATTTTTGTAGCCTTTTTTGTCTGAGAGGGTTGAAATGGTATTCCTTTTTACCCCTCAATGTCATCCTCATCAGTTTCATTGGCTTTGTGTGGAGTTTTGATGTTATCACCCTTTGCCACCACAGCAATGTCACATTTGATATAGCCTTTGCACCCTGCGGTGATGTCATCAGGATCACACAACACGGCCCATTTGTGGTAGAACTGGTGATCTGTAAAAAGGAAAACTTTGTAATCACTCTCATTTCCACTAGGCCATCTTTCCTTGCTGGAAAGATTATCCTAGTTTTACATTTATTGTGCAGTAAAATATGCTTATGGAGCAGATGAAGAGTTATCTTACCAGGTTGTGAATAAACTGTTCCCACATCCATCTTGAAGGTTCCAACCATTGTTCCACTTCGCAGAAGATTTTTAGAGTGGATTACCTGAAATGTTAAGGTGAGGAATGGTCATCTTTCTATAACAGGGTGATTACACAGCATTTCAAATGGCTTTAAAAGTGAACTTACTGACAGCTTCAGGATTTTGTCAAATATGACATCAGGTGGGACGTGGAAGTCGAAGACAAAGTACTGGAAAAGAAGTGAAATTTTAATTAAATGATTGCACTATAGATTCCCAAAGAAAACTAAACAGACCTTACATTATTTAAATGTGGAAGATGTTCAGTGACTATTGAAATGGAATCATCTACCGATGATTACATATGCGAGCAGGGCATGAATTCCACATGGGCAACATTACCTCGTTGTAGTAAGGGCAGTTGGTTGACTCCTTCATTGAAGTGTATTTCTTCTCATCGCCAATTTCCACACAGACCACTGGATCCATATTCAGCCCTACGAGCTGTCTGGCCTCTATGACAGTCACACTTACCTAGAAAGTATTAGTCTACATGAGTAGGGATAATGAATTTACTCGCATGTTTTTAGGTTTGAGCCATTACCATCTCAGTCTGGCTAATTCATCTGATGATATGCAGTTTAGTTCACAAATAACATTTAATGTAACATTTGTACACACATTAAATAAAGTCATTTATTTAATTTAGTTGATCCCCTTCATTGATGTCATTTGTCCCAACCCTCATTCTGTGAGTAGATATTTATTTATTGATAGATACTATGTTGTACATACTTGGAAATCCATTGGCCTTCCAGCACTAGGTTCAATCTTGATATCAGGCTTTGACCTAAAATATTTTAAATTAAATAATATGATTATTTGACATTTGATACAAAATCATTTCTAATGTTTTTATTTCACTTTTGTATTTTGGATTATGTGGGCTCACCTCTTGTTAGAGACATTTGTTGTTACAGCAGTAACAGAGGCCAGTGAGATTGTGTCAGGGTCTGGTCCTCTGCTAAAGCTTCTGTCCAAGTCCTCCGTCTCCAGGATGGCTGGCTCATCTTAGAATTTAGAATACATTGTTTTATTAGGTATTTCTTTACTGAACTTGTATTTTAGCGTAGGTGTAAGTCAGTTAAAGTATATGTTAATAGAAATGTCTGGTAAGGCTTGGTAAGATTGAAGAAATGCCCTGGAACAATATGGTTCTCACCTTGGCCTTTCCCATCATCCTTGGAGGCACGAGACTTTCCACGCTTCATGCTTGAGAAAGATGTGTTTGCTCCTCTGAGGGTCACACAAAACAGAAAATGCAACTGAGGAAAACAGCAGTCTTGTGTTGTTTAGGTGTTTATAATGTCCTAACAGTGTAATGAACATACTGAATGAGCTCAGGTGTTACCAGATACAGACTGTGAACCCCAAAATCACCCGGTCTTGTTTAATGACCTTGTCTTGAATGTTTTAACAATTTAAAAAGGAAATACCACCAATTTTTTAAAATATGTGCATAATTTAATTGTTAGTATGTCAAACAAACTATGTCAATTAGAGTGGTTTAATGTGTGAAATGCACCATTCTACAGAGACTGTCAGAATTGTTCACTATGGTGTTAATAAGAACTAGATATCTGAAGAGTTGAAATGCCTCTAAAATCTCCCTCACAGAAAGGTATTGTATGAAATCATTACAAATATGTAGCCTGATGTCTGAGACATTGTTTTATGATAGTTTTGAGAAGGTTTTGGCCTAAAATGGACTTTTATAAATACATTCATGGAAAGGTACATGCAGGGTTTTATAAGGCAAAATAGTACCCAGAGAAATCTTATGTTTTCAGATTTACAATTATTTTGCCATCATTAACATTACATCACATTAAAAACTCAGAAAACATGCATAGGTCACTTGTGGTTTTGCATAGTAAATAAAAGGCTATATCTGTGTTGCAGACATTGCGACCTCTGGTTCCTATCACCACCACTTTAAAGAGATCTGAGTTGGTATATTTCTCAACGATGAACCATTTCATGCTAAAACACTCTGAACGACTTTGTTTACATCACACCTATTTATTTAGGTAGAGGTTTTGAAAATTTGGTGGCAGTCCCCTTTATAGCTCTCTTATTTGCAAGGAACAGGGGATTCATCATTTGAAATTTTGACCTAATTTAACCAGCCTTTTACTGAAAGACCTTTTACTGAAAGTGATGACAGTTTTAATTTTCAGCGAATGCTTTGAACTGAATAAATGTAGTTCAAACTTTTATCCTTTTATCCTATATTTTATTCACACCTGCTTTTTTCACTCAATCATCTCAGGTGATGTGACACAGCAAACCTATCTTATGATAATTTGGCCTCAAAGGGGACTTTAATAATTAAAGTGGATGACCTTAATCCATCAATAACGAGGGGATACATTTCAAAAGAAAATTACACACTCAAAATAATGAATTGCACATTCGTTGATTTTATGTGTTTTGCACAAAATAGAATTAGATAAAAACAACTTAACACTGTTGATAAATATCTAATAAAACAAGTAATTTAGCCAGTTAAGATTCACAGTATTAGTGTAGTGGAAAGTATGGATAATTTGAAGGTAAGACAAAAACGTCCCTCTCAGCCATTTGTGTACTTAGCTACATAAACCAAGAGAATAGTGTCTTTGCCTCAGAAGTGTATAGTTACAGAGGAATCCACTAACATACCTAATTTACACAGAGAGAGAGAGTTATCAGAATCATTTGGGTGATCTGTACAATTGTGTATGATATACTGTCAAATAAACCAATATACCTCACTAAAAGGTACTTGTTTCCCAGTAATTGCTTGTTTCCAGAACTTTTTGTTTGCTACTGAAACACATCTATTTCTGATTAGAATTACTTTAACTCTACAAAGAACATACATAATTTTAAAGTCTATATCTAACTTTAACAGTGCTTTATTTTCTAATGAGTATGAGGTAAAATTGCTTGTCAAAAGTTTAGGAACTACTAGGTAGCTGCACTGCAATGCGACACGAACCCCGCATGTAAAACAGTCCAGTACAGCTTTAAACAAAGTGTACTTACCATACAACGGGCCAGATCTTCTGCTCTTCAGATCATCTGCAGGTAGAAGAAGTTCCAGTGCTTAGGATGTCCGCAAACAAGCTGTTCTACATAGTCAAAATTGACGTTCACTTCACAGAAAGAGAAAGGCCGCAAAAGTAACGTAACTCAAAAAGAGTTTGGTTTGGTTCTAGGCTGGAGTTGGGCAAGAGTGATGTGATACATTAATGAATAGTGTATGAGAGCTGAACATGAGACACTGGTAACTAGAACTAGGTCCTATTGAGAGACATCACGTTGGGCTACCAATGACCAGGTACCCTAACAAATGCAACACATGTATGATTTTCTTCTCTTTTCTGCACAAAACTTCAGAGCTTTTATGTTAAGTTTAAAACATCTCGCTGAGCAGATTTGAAAGAATTCAGCTTTCAATGTCTCACTTCTGTCCTGTGTCATATACACATGAAAAATCCCATGTTAACATACACTGCATGTTGAAACGCTGCTAAAAAGATCTTAGGGAATTTGTACAGAATGTACAGCAAGATTCCATCAAGCACAGCTAAACTATCAGAACTGGTAGCCAAATACATGGGAAACACATAAACAGCCTTGACAGGGTGTCTGTCTGATTAAATACATCTGCATAACACTAGTTGCTGGGTTTTTTAATGCAAAGCAGTGCTCACATTTGAATTACTATATCTGACCCTTTTTTGGTCAAAACAAAGGCAAGTCAAATGGTCTCCTCTGTTAATTATTGAGGGTGTATTGTTCCAGTTGGGATGTGGGTGCAGACGTGCTGGCCTTCTTTATCCTCCCTAAAATGGTGTCATGTGCTACTCTGCAATGCAAGGTCATTAGCCTTCATTCACGTCTCAAGTAATGTAATACATTACATCTCTCAAAATAACTTGGTTTTACAAAACTATAATTAGTTAATGCTACAGCATAATCCATTCAGTTAATGAAGGAAAAAAGTTATATTTGGCTTTTTACTAGGATCATAGGCTAAAAAGGATGCACATGTTCTGTTCACATTACATTGAGGCTCACATATTGATAACGTTTACTTTTTGCAAACTACTGAAACACAGCATTAAATAAAAAGCCCATAGCTTTATCTTTTGATTGAAACATGCTTTAGCAGCCTGTATTCAAAAGCAATTCTTTTGAAAACTAAAATACAACTCTTCTCATTAATAAGACATTCTATTTGTAAGGTATACGTTGAGGTCTAGGGTTGCCTGTATCCGATGAAATGTCTTTAATTTTTAATGGGTGCCCATCAGTGCCCATCAGTTCTGCATGTGCTGTCTTCACTATGTGAGCATTACAGTCTCATTAAGCAAGAAAAGTGTATTCATGTTTAGCTGAAATGGAGAGCATAATTAGTGAGTTTGTCTCTAGTTCTATTTTTTTTTTCTATTTATAATTATCTTTTCTGTGAATATATTATTTACTGGGGACTTGAGTGACAATCAGGCAATGAATACTATGAACTTAAGCCAAACTTCACACAGACACAACTTCATGGGAAACCCAATACTTATTATTCAGTTATTATTTAATAACTACAATACATGTCTTGTAGCTACTATAAAATTTATATGTACAGTCACATGCAAATGTTTGTGCACAGGACAAATTACATGTTTTGTTGATTTTCTAAGTGAAAACAAGTACATATTCCTTACAGGGTACACACTTCTGAACAGCGTCTGTGTGTTTGCTGAAGTTAACATATTGGAATAAAACTAAAACAAAAAATGTGGCCTGTGCAATAGTTATGGCACACCTTTCATTTTATGTTTCATTTTTTCCTATATGTTAAACTCAAAATGAATAGAAATATGCAATGAAACATTTAATGTTTACTTATTTTCACTTAGAAAATCAACAAAACATGCTGTTTGACTGGGGTGCTCAAACTTTTGCACACAACTATAAGTTATGTAATAATGAGAGTGAGGAGTTGAAGAGCAGGCCCACGTAAAGACCCTTAGGGTCAGCACTCAGAAAAAAGGGTAATTTTTTGCCCTACAAGGTGCAAACTATGTAAATGTGCTCTCAAAGGTACAACATGGTCCTTAAGGTCCAATTGTGTAGCTTGAATAAGTTTTAAAAGTTCACTGCTTTCACTTTACCAGTGGAAAGGTGCAAATTTGTACCTTTTCATAGCTTAACGTTTTTTAAATAAAAAAAAAAACTACAGATGCTATAAATGAATAAATACATAAATGCAATGCAATAGAATATGATTATGTTTATACTGAAAAGGCCCCAAAAAAGCCAAAAAAGGGACCTTGCAACAATATATGTCTGTAAATCAGTCATCACAAACATTAGAGTTTAATTTGTGGTTTTCCCCTTAGTTTTGAGAAAAATAAGCTTTTCCAACCTCTCAGCTCATTAAATCTTTTTTCTTCTATAATACTTCTATTTATTGTGCTTTAATTTAAGTCACATGGTGAATGTATGCTGGTTTGAGTGCCTGATACTCCTGTTGACACAAGCAGGACAATCTAGCTGAGAGATTCTGGCTGTAATTACCTGACACCAGGCCATGCACGGAAGCATTTCACTGCAGTCCCCTGTATTGCTCCAAACCAGGTCACCACCTCATTGCTGTCGGCAGTCCTTCAAAGCAGGAACTCCGCTCTCTCATGTGTGTTTAAGGTGGACTCCATGGGAGAGTCTTTAGTTGCAGTGCCTGATTTCCCAGACATTTGTATTTAAAAGCTCTTTAAAAGATCCAGTGTGCTATCGTTATACAGCTAAGGGAAGCCATTTTTTTATTGCACGAATTGTTTTGTCTGTCGTAGGTATGAATTCACATATTTGTACTGAATACCATTATTCTGAGTTTCTGATTAACAGTTCTTTTAAATCTGTCTCTTTGTGTCCAGCTTTAACATACTCATGATCAGCGCATACAGCAAACAGACCTCTGACAGTATAAAAGAGTTACATTATTGCATATCTATACTTGAAGAGAGATAAGACAACATTGTAGCAATGTCAGTTCCTCAATTACAGTTGCATTATTAGTTATATTATTGTATAACTATGCTTGATGAGAGATAAAAACTGATGTAACAGAAACTTGTGAAATGTGGCATCATAACCAATATCAGTTTAATTTGATTCTACATTTCTCACATGTTGTTTAGGCCTGCTGCTGGAGAAATAGGGTTAATTGATGAATATGCATGAACCTGCAACCGAGCCTACTGAATGACACCTTTTGCAATGTCATCTAGGGTGAACCACAGCATGACTTGATACCAGCCGTGCAATCTTATCCATGCACTGTCGAAAGCCCTTTCTTGGCTGTAGACTCGTAATCCTGATCTCTTTGTGCTCCGTTGCCTCTGCGGGTGTACCATCTGACTGTAATGTAATATGACACCCCAACACATTTCTAACTCCGGTGGTTTCTTTGTGGTCTATAGTGCAGCAGCAAGTTCTTCTTCTTTGGTCGCTCCTTGTTCATTCAGGCCTACATTCTTGGCAATAAACTACAGAAGTCTCAACTTAATGATACATATCTGTTATGTGTGTTTGTCCGTATTTACCTTATGCCTTGTGCAAGAACCCAGTAGTATTTTGGTTTGTTGTGTTGCTGGATGTGTAGAAATCTTAAGCACACACCACAGAATAAGCCAGATACTAAGTTTATGGTGACAGCACTATGGACAAGTTTGGTATATTTTCCAAATTTAGTGGCCATGATTTACCATCTTTGTGAGTAGAAGTCCAAGCTTTGGATTGTCATAACGTTCAAACTTACATTTACAAGTTATGAAATGTGTATTTGTAATTTACGATCACAAATTATATTTTCTATTTATATTAGAGATGCCACTGATATAATATCAGGTCTCTGTATATCAGCCTGTATCAGCAAAAAATGCCGGATCGTATATCAGATAAAAGAATCCAATCCTGTAACAAATCTAGCCTGAAATGGCACACTCAGACTGTGTGATGTGATGTTAGCTGTATATTTCTTCCTGTGCGGTAGTAGAGAGTTTTCAGTAGTTTGAGCATGATAACCTATGTTTGGAATGTCATCCTAAGTGAAAGGTTTCAGTTAAAACAGCTCAGTGTTTAACAAGCCTAGTAGTTGTAACAAAAAAAAAAAGGATCTTAACAGTAAAGGCAGATACTCAAGGTCTCAATATCACAATCAGTATCTGCATCAGAAAAGCAGAAGTAGTATAATTTCATCTTTAATTTAAATTGTAGTAAAACCTTAAAAAACAGGCATGGCAAGGTTTCAGCCCAAAAACCACATGCCGATGGCTCATTAATGTCCCCAGCACAAACATCACTTTGTGATGGTGGATCAAGCATCACTTTGATCATTCTCAATTAAGATGATCTTCACATTTGTGAGTTGTGAGTTCTGCCACTTTATGCACAGTCCTCAGATACTAATGGTTTATGTTTATGGCAAACACACTGAGTGTATTGAAAACATAGCATATGACAACAGGATTATTAGCACTGTAATGCACATTCAGTAATTGTAGATGTCACTTAAAACTATTTTGGCTCAAACAGAATAATAAGAAACACAAAATGTAGGAATTTTGTAGTCAGTTTAACTTCCAATTACATATTTCAATTTATTCTTGTATGTTTCTACAAAGAAGTACAATGAATTCATAAAATACAGATTTACAGATTTAGCTGTCTAGTCTGCCTGTAGTAGTAGACAAGAGTAAAGTGTATATGAACAGTTTGTAACCACAATCATTTTGACTCAGAGTAGCTGCAATGGGGAATGAACAGAGAGACACATGGATCTTGGACAACTACAGCTACATGTTACATGGTTGAAATAGCAATGTTTCAGCCCTCCATTAATATTCTCTGTGATCCCCGAAATACGAGTCTACAGAAAAATGCTTCAGCACAAATTGATGAGCAGCTAAAGGAATGTGAGTATTTTTCCATGCTTTTGTAAAGTTATTATTTATTAATCAGAGTCAGAATCAGAATCACTTTATTTCTCCAAGTATGTTACACATACCAGGAATTTGTCTTGGTGAGTGCACACATGTATGACATGTAACATACTAAACAGACCAGACAACAACATAGACTATTAACAAGTATTTAACTAAGGGAAAATTAAAATAAAAATACAA